ACTGAAGTCCGTTGATTAGAGCATCGCGCACACTTTCGTTTTGATTGTCAATGGCGGACACCGCCTTGAAATCACAATTTTTGGCCAGGGATTTAAGCCTCTGAACAAACTGATCAACATCTTGACTGGTGTCTTGCTTGCAAGTTTGTAGAAGATGGCGAGCATAAATTATATTCTTAGGCCGAACGTACAACTTTCCAAGCGTACTGATAGCTGATTCATAATCTGGACAGTCAGCGATATAAACGTATACAGGTGCATCCAAAAAATGGATTAGAGTTTCGAGTTCATTTAGATTGAGCGATTCGACAGTGCCCAGAAACGTCTGGAAGGTTTGGAACCAATGATTCCAACGCGGTGTTGCGTCTGGTGAATTAGGATCTGCGTCGAAACACTTGGGTCGCAGCAACGGTTCCATTGTATTCTTAGACGAGTAAATTGCTACGAATAGAATATCGATTCTGATTGAGCGCGAGAACAAGAATGAATAGCGCTTTACTTGTCTAAGAATAGATATCCGTACAACACACGCAGTCTCACATACCAGTTTGGTTAATGGATAAGAGTTTTACCGGCACAGTCTTCTGGTCATGAGAGCTCAAGGTTGAGACGCCAACTTATGGACCCGAAGGTCCATGGTTCAAACCCAACCTCATCGACTGGTATCTAGGCTTGGGTACCCCGTCAATATTTGAACTCTGGTCACCATCATTGACAGCATGACATCAGTGTTCAACACTGATGCTCCAACTCTCGTACACCATTCAGGTGGTATTTTAGCTAGGCACCGAAATTTTATTGCAGCTAACGGCTGATTTTTCAAATTATTGTTTTCTGGTCCTCCAGATTGATGGTTCAAGCATGCATGGCGTCCTGCTCTTTAAAAAACGTAATGCACTGCTATTTCTAGCCAGTCACCACAGCCTTGCGGTCAGTCTTTGGTCGAAGATCCAAATTATTCTCTTGTTTGGGTCTGGGCGCCCAGGCAACCGTGATAGCCATAATTAACAATACTCTCATGCCACGATGGTCGTCAAGTGGTATCGTCAGCCTTACAAATTATGTACGGCAGCGAGGCGTCAGTGTGAAACACTGACGTTATGCCGTTGATGAGGGCAGTGATGATGCTGATGTTGATGGCCGGCGACGAGATGGATCACTGTGTTCTGTACTCCGAAGGCGTGCCGGTGGTTCGTGTATTATAATACTTCAACGGCCCGAATGATGGAGTTTACTCCATTTGGTATCGCATTTACCACGGTTTAAGACGCGAGCTTACGGACCGAAAGGTCCGTGTTTCGACCCCAACCTCAGCATTTCGACTGCTGTCTACGCTCGAGCAACCTGATAGTGTCCCAGCCCTCGTGCATCCCTCCGTTGGCATGGCAGCTAGGCATTGATAAGGTGCTACAGCTGAACGATTTTTTACTTTACGTCACTGGTGGAAGTGACTTTGTCCGCGCAAATCCCCAGGTGTTTGACCTGAATAAAACTATGGTAGAAGTAACTGCCTAGTCGCTGATGACATCAACGCAACTAGCGTGCACCGAGCTGCGCGCTCGCCCCTTAAATTGGATTTTCGTTCAGAACGTGATAGCACGTTATGGGGCTCACCAGAGTGCAGCCTAGTCAGAAAGTTAGCACGCTGGATCTTGCGCTGCCGCCAAACCTTGCAGTATAAACTCCTTAATCTATCTCCATTTCTCAGGCCATAGCGACCACCTCACTATGCAGTTCGAATGTCAGGGGTGCCCTCTATGGACATGACGTTTGGCATCACTGGAGCCGTACTTTAAACTCTTCCTCTGAAAGACCTAAGCACCCTTCCCGGGCAGAGCCTTGACGAGCATCATGATGCTCAGTGAGAATGGATCAGAGGATGACTTGCGTAACCGCATCCCTTCAATTCTCTCTTTCACTGCACGAACAATGAGCCTAAAGACGCTCCTTTTTACGTAAATATTGGGTAACGTGATGTGTACATCAGATATCCACCGTTAACTACATCAGGTTGTTGATTCAGGACTCGAGTCATGTAGCCCTCAGCTCGTTGAACGGAGTTTCAAGAACATTTTTGCTGACCTCACGCTGACTGGCTATAAGTTGCATCCGGAACTCTGTCTTCATGGGAATCGGCTCTACGATTGCCCCCTTGTATGTAGTGAGAACAAGATTAGAGTGCACGCTTTTATCGTGCAAACATGTTTTCCATTTCGCGTGGCTTTTGCTTCGGATTATCTTCCATCCACACTTACTCCAGCACCAAGTATTTTCTAGGTGCTTTTTCGACAAATAGCTCACTTGTTCAGGTGCGGACTTCCCGACCGGAAGGTCCGTGGTTCGAACCCAAGCTCTGCATCTCGACTGCTGTTGTCCAGCACTGGGCAACCTGGCAGTGCCTTAGTCCTCTTTTCTCCTTCGTGTGGCATGACAGCTAGACACCGAAAGAGTGGTACAACCGAACGATTACTTACCGTGATTACAAGCGCAGTTTCCTATCGGATTGACGTGCCTGTTGACTTCGATACCAGAGCTTCCTGGAAGTTGACTGGGAACATGCCACATATTTCAGAAGGCCTTGTTTTACGGTTGACTGTGAGCTGCCCGAGTTAATTAATTGGTGGGGTTGGAAAGTCAGCTTATGCACCAGCCTCTCTCAGAGGTCGACGTTTCGGCTACTGAAGGACAGTAGTCGACAAGAGGCAGGACAGGTTAAGCTCACCTTGGGTGTCTGAATATCCTTTTATGGCAAATCCAGATTCACTTTTTTAATTTTTTTCACATGTCCCGATGTACATAATATGGAAATGGATCAGGAGCTGTCCAAATAAGCCCGACCCATCAGTGACTGGAAAGATCTCCAATTTGAGTAGCGTGTCTTCATACCGTGTCGGTCATCGGCACGATCGATCACATCGATCACACACGTCCGAACTACCCATTTTCAACCCTGACACCTAATTTGTTGCGAAACAGCCTGAATTAATACTCATTCCAGTGTGGTTTTGTGGGTTGAGGATTTTGATTACATAGTGGCAATGGTATGTTTGTGTGGCTTATTAAACTTACTTTTCTGCCTCTTTCCACATGCAGTGAAGCATGGCCCATTTCAGGGACTGTGATAAATAAATCGACCGTCAAACCGAACTGCGATGTTTGGTCTTCATTTCATATTTACGATACTTTCGTGTCTAATTAAATTCTGTTTGGTGCATACACATCCATTATATGTTCGAATAGCTTACCAACAATGTTGTGGTTTTCATTCTTCGAATGAACACTCCTCTTATCACTCCAGCTGCTCAATATGTTCGCCTGTCACTACGACGGTTGTGAAACCGAGAGTGACACTCCAAGGTATGCAGTTTGTCGAAAACTACTTCAGTTCTCAAAGTGAACAAAGCGATGAGGATGACTTGTACGCTGCCCGTAGAAAAAAAGAAGCACTGAAGTTCGAGAACCTTATGGACGATGAATTGGATGGCATTCTTCAGCGTAGTTCGGAGACACGTGCTATCAAACAAAGACAGGTACACTTTGCATCCACAAACGATTCTACACAAGGTAACCTCGTTTTTGCTGTCTTATTTCTGTGTAGATGCCACTCTTCCTTCCGGCGAGCAGGACGATGAGTTGTATGACGAAGACGAAGATGAACTGAATGCTCAATGGGTCAGGGATAATTTGCCTGGTGGGAACAGTCGGAATTCGGATGCCGTATTAAACTGTCCAGGCTGTATGACACTATTGTCAGTAGATTCCCATAGGTTTGTGATTTTGTTAAGCGTCTCTTTATACATTCATTGTATTGATGAACTTGTTTCTCCTTGTGTGAGTTGCGAAGTTATCGATCTGTCTTTATATGTATGGAAAAACGACAGCTTTTCATTTTATTCTTTCAGAGACGGTCGCTTGAAAACTCACTACCAATCCACCAATCCAATCAATTGTGTGATAGACGAAACATGTACAGCACAGGCGAGTGAAACACATACAAGGCAAAGTAAAAGACGGAGGTCTTCGCACAAACAAGTGGGTGCTGCAACACTTGAACGAGAAACTGCAGACTTATCGCCTACTCTGTTTCCTGTCTCTTGTGAAATCTGCGGGGTTCTTGTAGGCACAAAAGACTCGAAAACAAATGTGGTGACTTTTGATAATGTACTTTCAAGCCACACTTGATTTGAATCATATCTTTGTATAGTTGTAAATATATTCTGATGCCCCCCTATTCGTCACTAATAATCTATATGCTTATTGAATTCCATATATTCCCTTGACATCCCAAGATTGCGGTTTCACGTCATCGCTTGTGCTGCATTCACTAAGGTTTTCCCTTCTATTCGATCCCACTTGCGTTTGGATTGAGGCGATTGCTAATCATATTGATTTCCATTGCTTTACTGCGTTGCTGAGTGTGTCATCCAAAAGCGGCGATCAATAGTCACACAAACTATCTCTGAACATATTCTACATTCTGTCTTCAGCGATGCTAAAAATGCATTTGGTTTTTGACTGGTATAGTATGATTACGACTTGGTGATTCGACAATGAGAATGCTGGCTAACGTGTATGGATGCATTTGTTGATTAGCGGAAACTAAGTAGAGTGAAGCAAGTTGAGTTTAGATCCACCTGAGATCAGCCATCATGTGGTACATGGAGTAATAAAAAACCTGTTTGTATTCTTGGTTTCCGTTATTCATGTAAGGTCCTTTGGGTCCTTGTGATTAACTATTTCCGGGTAGCTACAATCGCGAGTGCAAACGACTGCACCAAAGTTAAACCTATCAACAGGTGACGCCCACTAGGTGAATCAAATTGTCTCTCATATGTGATTTTGTGGATATTCACTTGAATGCTGGAAATCAGTCATGTAATACAAACTGACTAAAACTTTGGTATCTTTCAGATCCTCCAAGGGTGTCGTGAGAAGTCTAGAAAATCGTTTAACTGCGCTGGGCTAAATTTCCCTCGCAGATTTCCTCCCACTATCTGAGACGAGAAGTTACATCCACTCCTACTCACCTTACGCGCTTGACTAATTATATTTATATCTGCATATGCTCCGTGTATTTCTTTTACGCCTGCAAGACGTACCGGTAATTCCGATGTTTCTACTACAGGTACTAGGCACTGAGTTCCTTGGTTCTGTATAAATGCCTCTCTAGTCAGCCTCATGGTTTGCAACCATTTCGAACCCAACAGACTTCTCTTTTCCCCGACATCCACAGTTTTACGTTTCCTTATGCGCTTATGATGAATTAGGGATCCAATAAACGGCAACGGCTTTGTATCCAGACTGTTGCCCTCAATACACAACCCCCTCCCGATCTCTCCACTGAAAAGTTCTCTGATACATGGATTCATACATCACCTCCAATGCGTAGCTTTCCACGCCTATCTTCCCAGATCACCGGCCAACGAAACTGTGGCATTTATAACCAGTGTAAAAAATGTACTCGATTCATACAGCTGAAGGTGATGAATTGCCTTGCTATCTTCCTGTTGGCTTTATGTTTGTTGTCATCCAAACGGCTTGCCATCCAAAGATAGGGCAGTTCTGATGAAATACATTCACTTGCCAAATAATTTCATTTGAATGGATGAATCAACTTAATCCTATGTGAATAGGTCGTTTATGATATTCTTGAGTGTCGTACCAACTGAAACATGAAACGGACCTTGTGCAGTGCACTCAGTTGGAGAACTCTACGGACCACGCTAGGATTCATTTTAGTCTCCTATGAAACCAAATCGGTTTGCAAATGATTGCAATTTGCGAATTTCTTACAGTTTGGGTTCAGGTGAGACATGAGGTTGACGGAAACTCGGGACTGTGCTAGCAGGACGAGCAGTAAAAAGGGCGATACCGGTCATGAGCTGTCAAAGAGTTTTCAATTTTTTTGTCAAGAAAATAGGACATCTGTTTACTGATTTCATTCCCTAAAATGTTTTACGTACGTGGTGGGTGGCTGAGTTAAGATTGTTGGTTTCTTGCACCAAAACTATCGTTTTGCGTCGGCCGCTTTCAGGACATTACGAATGCTCCGGTAAAAAAGCCTTAAAAACTCAATAGCATGGGGTGTAGCTGAAGTGAATAGCAGGCAGATACGCTACGTCTCAAAAAAATCGAAACCTCGTACGTTAGTTCTAACCAATAAGTATATGCAAACGAAACTGCAGAAATATCTGGGTTCAACTGATGATCGTTCTCGGAAATCGATGATAACATAACCACTGGATAACACTGATCTGAGACTAACTGGATTGGCTTGAAGGGTGATCAGTACACACTCGGTAGTCCACCAACACAGTTTGCTCTCGAAATTCGGCACCCCTCGCATCCAATAAAGAATAAAAAGAGACTCCTGAATCTTTCCTCTACACGGTTCCCAACAGAAGTCCGTATCCATTGATTTCTGTGCTGGAGCAACCCTAGTGACTTTCGGCCGTTTTCCTAAGAGCAGGATGGGGTTCTTCATTTCGGCTATGTTGAATATTCCAGCTGATCTGTACGCTTACCTATCCTGACTCATTCTATCGCACCACATTGAATCAACGCTTGTTTGCCCTCATCATCTGAGCCATTAGGAACTAGTGTTCTCCATCTATCCAAACTTGAATAAATATCACCAAGGAAGACAACAATCACGAAGACTTGTTTCTTCTAACGACGAAATAACTAATGTTGGGAGTTCAGGAAATATTGAGTTGTTTTGCGGTGCTTCATTCCATTGAAGGTGCTGCCTCTCGAGGAACTTTCTCGAGTTCTTTTTTAGGAAGAAGTAGTGTTGAGTAACGAGGTATATCATGTAATAATAGTCCTACGACGCGGTGTCCCTTTGAGTAGTATATATCGTTTATGGTCCCGTATCCGGTCTGGCGGGCTAATTCAACGATAGGCTCACAGGGAATTCACAAATGTCAGGCATATTCTAGTACGAAAGGTCAAATACAACTGTCTAGTGTTCTCTTAGAGAGATTTTTTCTCCCTCCGAACTCGACTATCTCGTTAATAAGGATATGATAGTACCTGAACAAATAACTAATTCCATCCTGTTTTTTCCATTGTGGTTGGCCCCAAGAACTGTTGCTGAGGGACAGGTAATTTATTGGCACTACGTGGACTCACTAAGGAAACTCGAACTCAACCGAGGGCGACAGTTTAGTCCAATGCTTAACTGTCTTAAATGGCTCTTCGTAAGCCTTTTGCTTTGGTTTGCTAATTTGGTTCTAATTCATAAAACGCGCTGGTCTGCTGTCATCATGTGCATTATGCTCTTGTAGTTGTTCAGTCCAGTGATTTGCCCTCGATTGGGTTGGTCATTCATTCGTCCTGTAAGTGAAGCCAATCTTTACTAGAAAGCCAGTAAGAACTCTACAGCTGTTTCATCCTTATCGAGAATTACCAGGAGTGCACATCTTGTGAACCTGTAGGTTGTCCCGAACCCGCGACCCCCAGAATAGCGTTTCGGACAACCGTTCAGCCACTAGCGGCTTAGCAGCGTGATTAGCTCGCAGTTAGGGTATGGCGCCATTCATCCATTAATTATGAAATTCGCATGATGTGATCACCTTCTGACTGGCTCCTACAATGACAACTCATGGAAGTTTTACTCGTGTGGATTTCTCTTCCTTTCTAGTTTAATCCTTGGGACCGATCGTGGAGATAGTTCGTGTCATTAACAAAGCTTAGGCTCAAGTCACTTACAAGCATTAAAAACCTCATCGAGTTTTTATTTTCGATTGATCTACTCTGTACCAGCGTGACCCCTGTTAACTCAGGTGCTTGACGTGGTTAGAAAACGTTATCAATAACTACGTCAGTGAAGACTGTCTTTCGATACAGTTCGAGGCCACCAAACATCCAGGTTCTTGACTAATATTGTCTTCAAGTAAAATTGTCTGCTCTTGTAGGCTACTGAAGGCGAGAATTTCGGGATTGAACGGGTCAAAGCGCCGTTTCTTGCAGATTGAGAGTTTTTGCTAGGGGTAGACCGTCTGCATCTTGGACAACATACTCTGAAACGCCTGTCGGCGCAAACAACGTCTGATGTTCCTCCTACCGGAATTCCACCGGCGTCTATTTTCTGTTTGATATTCATCTAAATGTTGTTGGATATTTGCAGTTTGATTTACTGCACATGTATGACCCCAAGATTGAACGTGGAGTTTTTGCACCGGAATCCGAAAGTTGTTAGTTTGGATGCTGGCTGTTACGAATATAACCTATCCAGGTATCTGAAACAGGCTCCGGATGTGTGGATGTGGTATCCCTGTTCTCCACAGTATCTCCGTAAATGAACGCAAATCAACCTGAATGTGTGTAGCATAAATGCAGTTAGAGTTTTTGAGTAGATCACTTCGTTTGCCTCTTTAAGTTGAAACCAACTGATACCGTTGAGACGAGGAGTTGAAGTGAAGACAGTTGTTGAGATAGCCCCAATTTCTATTGCTGGATTTTCGTCCTAGTGACATTGCATTTGGGCATAAAGATTTGCAGTAAGGGTGTGTAGACTTAAGCATAACACATCATGATTAGGTGCGACCAGCTTTGAAGACTTGCCAGTCCAGCTTCACAGTTATTTCATATCAGTATTAAAGATTTCGTACGATAACCTTAGGATGCTGCACAACAACAGAGGAAAGAGGTTGGAGAGCCCAACTTGCTGGATACATCTTATCCACGGGAGTCAGATTCACTTGGAAACTCATCGGTGGAAGAGCACACACGTTTGTTCGTTCATGACCCTTATGTGTTTGTTGTAGCAACACAAGTGCTCAGACAGGAGATATATTTTCAAATACCTGGACCTCACTTTTATGGTCTGTCGATTTACATATAATCATGACATGTCACAAAGTGTCGATGTTTCGTGGGCTTGGATTCCTTCGGTTCTCAGTTTCTCCAGTATGGGCTTGTATATTTCTGGTTTTAACGGTAGCACAATCCCCTTTTCAGTTATTTCACCTGCAACGAAAATGTACGGTGAATCAAGCGGTTTCAATTGCTGAGGATGCATGCGTTGCGGCCGAAGTCTGTACAGAATGCAAATCGGCGGTATATTCCCGCTATCAACTAATGCCAAATCGTATGCCACTCCAATCTTGCACTAGTGTTGTTTCCTCGAATGTTGAGGAGACGTTTGCAAGACAACTGGGAAGCTAGGTGGTCAGATGAACAGCCTACCAACGGACAACCAATAAAAGCTCCAGTATTTCGACACACCACCTAGGTCCACCGTTTTGGCTGCGTGCTGCAGTCACAAGTGCGCATATGTGGGAACCGCGTTCAGTGGCGTCATCCTTTTCATGAACCACGGGTCAAACGAATAAGGGTTAGTAATGGCGGACTGTGCCACTCCACACACAGTCACCAAAAATACACCTAGGACTTCCACTGCTTGTGTGTATATAAAGTTGGGATGAACGTTCCTGAGGGAATGGCAGCAGGTATCTGGCTGTTTACTTCACCCGACTACATCACTGAAGGCTTTCTATAGCCCCAAGACATCAAGAAGTCTATACTTTCTAAATTAAAGGCCCTTGAACATGCCACAATGCGTTCATCATGCCTTCCAACTTGGCCCGCATTCCCTCGTCCTGCCGCTGAATTCACTTCGCCATTTGAAGGCATGTCGAGGCTGGATACAAAAGCGATACGGTGATAAGTCAACTAGAGTCAGTTACGTTATGATTTGTGAACGTCGTGATACTCCGTCCTGGATGCAGATGTCCTAGCTGCTGCTGAAACGAGCTGACAGTGACTTAATGCACCTGTCAGGTGTTTATCATAAATGCTAAATCGATGGTTACACGCATTTAGGTGAACAAGTGCTCAGGAAGACGGGAATCTCATGAGTATACACAAGTGAACGAAAAATGGTAACCATAATGGCCTCAACGATATTACTTTTTCTGAGGTTCCGATGCAACAATAGAAATTCTGCAATATTTCTGCGCGGGTTAGAGAATATGCAAGCCTTTCACGACTTACCATCTAAAATCATCTTCGCTGCTATCGCCACAGGAAGTCCAACTGTGCGAGACATAGCTAAACCGGCTTTCCCTTGGCCTGCCTTACCATAGACTACCAGACTCACTTTGCGCTGCTCCCTTTGCTTTCTGTCCGGCCAATCAATAATTAGCTCATGGGCCATGATAATGAGATCCCGTTCGTTTGGACCTGTGCAAAGGGAAACATCCACCTTATTTTATTACAGTACTTTACAAGTGTTTGCAATGGGATATAGATATTCTGAACATTGTTAGCCAAATCTCGGTCACGTTGTTAGTGGTTGTGTGGAACCTGTCAACCATAACAAAAAATGATAAGACTGAGCTTCCATAGAACTATGTTTGCACACCGAAAATACGTCGAAAGAGAACATGAGGCGCATGGATTTAACTGACCAAAGACTGCCCGACAGAGTCAGTTTCACCGTAACTCCCAAGTCCACAGGGACCGCACAACAAGCGCTGGGCTTTCTTCGTAGCTCAAGTGAGGATGGTTGTGTCGTTGCAGGATTCGTTGCTACTTGAGGCCTACCTTCTTGCTAAAGACGGTGAACACATCGAATGGTATAGTGTCATTTCAAAGATCGAAACGCAGTAAACATCTGCGCACCCCATTGTTAGCCTCATTCATCTTTCCTTTGAAGGAATGAAATTATCATTTGAACAAACGGTGGACGAAGTTTATGGAAACACAGATACACGTCTGTAAACTCCATAGTGAAAATATCTATGAAGGCGGTGAATGCTGTCGAAAAACTTAGTTTGGGAACAAAGCTATAACAGACTATAGATAATTGACGGGTGTTCATTAGACTGAAAACAGTCAATATGCGGCATCCACTGTGTCTAGTCCGTTGGGTGTCACCTGACCGATACTTGTGAACTCGCGATTAGTAATCTTTATACCACAGCCCTGGACTGTCCGAATTTCGGTTCGCATGTGGTACACTTGAACTTTTTCAAAAGTGCCTAAGTGACGGTTAGGTTGGGCGGAAAATGAGAGCACAAAATATCCAAGTTCATTGTAGTGACCAAAATAAGCACAATCTGATTTTATGTCCTAAATTACACAGCTTGACATTCCATTCCGCAATGCGTTCGATGACACTGTATTTGGGATTTTCAGCTTAGTTTATTTTCTCATGAGCCGCGGCTAGCCAAACTCGCATTCTAAACCTAATATGCTATCCTTTTTTGGTAGGCTGCCGCAAGTTTAATACTTAAGGAAACACTGTGTTTAACACCAGTCAATCTTTGGAGAGTTATTTTGAACCTGACGGGGGAATGCAGGATGTCTTGACTAGAACTTCATACAGTTCGCTTTGTATCTTGAGTATTTGTGTCAGCTGATGTTTGCATCAACATCAATATGGTTTTTAAGGTATACATTTTTTTGCAATCGACTCTGGTATTGTACCCAAATGAATCGAGTGTGTATACTGTCCGTCCAAATAAGAATAACATAATCGTTACCCACTAAAATGGACTAATATCATTGGACATTCGTATGTACAACCCAACGGTAAGTTACTGTTCTCAAAAGTGTAGTGCTCTGTCGAGCAGTAGAAATTCAGTGGCACCACTTTGGATTTTTCTCCAACTTACAGAAGACAACTTCAACTCTCTTTCGTGATTCAGTGGAACTCCTCACAAATAAGTAGTCGCGCGAAACTTGAAAGTGAAGCCTCACTCGTAATAGAGATTTCGCTCGGTGAGTGAAGGCAGTCTATGCTAAGATGTTCAGAGTCGCCGAACAACTGTTTCACCCCTATTAGGTATCATCAGTAGTGTGTGTCTCGTAAAATTCAAGGGCATTCAGATGAAGTGTACAAAGAGCAACATCCAATGAATGAAACTTCCATCTGAGAAGTCGTTGTGTCTAAGTGCAAGCTAATTACTGCTGACTAACTGCTAGTAGCCGAACGATTAAGTGTTCAAACTACTGGCCAGGAATCGCGAGTTCTGGACAATCGGGAGTTTTGTCAGATACATACTGCTGTTGATTCCTACCAAGGATGAAACAGCTGTACGGTGCTTACTGGCTTTTCAGCATAAGTCGGCCTTAATAACAGGACCGAATACCCATTATAGATTCCGAAAACCCACTTGCTTACATGCCACCTTCGGGTCCAACGGGAAGCAAGTGGCTCGTTGCTTACCATCAGTTTTGCCTCCTGTACACATTAAACAGCATGCTGCTGCAGTGGATGCAACCTCTGCTTTTAGGAGACTTTGCTGTTATCTCAGCTGAACTCCTTCAATCGCTCACCCACTTGGGGTGCATTTGGAACCTGGGTGGATTACCCAATTCCCTTTTACCGGTTGGCTGTCCACCAAGTTTGTGTGAGGTTCTTATTTGTGACAATTAAGTGATTCTGAATCGCACCCAACGGTTTTTCGGTTAAATTACGACCTAATCACGGCAATGGAGTGACACGCTGGTCACCAGCTATATCTGAACACCTAAATGGTTCATGAGTGCATTGGTTGGCAGAAACAATCATGCGTAATTTTACAGCTTTGACCCCTAAAAATTCAGAGGCAATCGATAAAGTTCTAAACCTAGCTGAACTCTGAGCATACCCACAAATTTGCCACAGATCCTCTAGTTCGGTGAACACAGAAATTCCCCTTCTTTAAACTTTCATTAGCACATACGTATTCATACGGATCTCCTATTGAACAACCAGCAACCCATGCACCAAATTTTGGTGCAAACGGTCTACATCTCCCTGCCCAACAATGCTGTATTCCTCCAACGCACCTACAAATCTGACACAAACACCTGTTTTTTTCTATTAGATTTTGGGTAGTGTTCATGATACATGATAGAAATAAACAGAATACACTGCACATGTCTGATTTGTTGCAGGCAGTAGCTTTTCACTCTTTTCGGTCCGGAGAAATCTGCTGCCACGGAATTTCAGGAGGCTGGACTCACAACTCACAGAAAATAAATGTGACTATACCATAACCCGTAGGCGAAGGGTATCATCTTGTGAGCCATATACCATCCGATTACCGATAGTGACCTTCGAAACTCAGCATTTAAGTAGAGTTCGGTCATTCTGGAAGCTCCATAACTCAGTTAAACGACTTGGATCCACGTGCACGTCAGTTCATTGAGCGTGAACCAAAGAATGAAACTATCTGACCTCCAAGTCTCCATGTTTGAGTGCAGTAAGTGTGTGTGTCAAGCGCGGCTGTACAGAGTCAGATTGATTCTCGGTCAATTGGATGAACGAGGTTTCTTCATTGAACGATATTTCACTTGCAGGCCTTATGAGCTTTCTCAAATGGGGGCGTGGGCGCATACTTGTTTGATATGACTATCAGGGCAAGTAAAATGTTGCCAGACCTTTCAGCTCAAAGCCTATGTAGGCCGTCCGACAGCAGTCCTGATAGTATCAGCCTGGTTACACGTAGTAGAATGCTCCTAGAAATTCTTCGCGTAGTTTTCAGGCGCTAGCCCCCTCCACTTACACGGTGTCAAGAGGTAAAGTTAATGGTTAAGTTTGAGGAAGATTGGTCGAAGTTGGGTGCATTTGTCGCCAACCTATGTCATCGGTGGACGATGGGTTACTTGTGCAAATGATCCTGGCATGGTGATGTGGGAAATCAAAGTGCATCATGAGAATTAAATCCCAGCAAATAATGGCATTCACATGTCACTCCCAGGAACAGTTGATGTTATGCTCGTTCCAAGATATAATTCGAGATTGCACGTAATGCGATCAGTCAGTACAACTCCTTTCCACACCTTTTTCTCTTTACGATATATCTTAAAGTTTCACAGAATGTCCCGGTACAAGTCTGAAGGTGCATTTACAGGAATCTTCGTGTCTCGATAGACGACCACGTATGACGTTTTGGGTTAATCAGACTGTTTCTTAACTTGTTAAACCTCTCTCATCAAACCACAAGTGCTGCGCACTTTTAAGGACTTCTTGATTTCCAAGAGCGACGTCTTCCTGACACTGTCAAGGCACTTACAGATTTACCCTGGCTAGTTTCCGGATTTTTCTCGATATCACTTATAAGATGCAAGGTCATATTACCAGCAGGAAGGTGTCCTTGTTAGATCAGATCCCCATTTTCGAGAACCTGATCAGCGGCATGCCGTTTTGTTGTTACGACTAGGCGTCAGAAGCCCGTGCAGTTGATTGCTGGTAAAGGTATATAACTATGATATGTATTAATAATACTTTTTTTCTCCACACAAAGATGTGTTAAAATACATGCATAAGGAAAGACCAGCGATAAAATATCGACGGTTCTGTTCTTCATCATTCGCTGTGACTGCACAGAATCTTAACTGGTCAAACTCAAAATCCTTCATCATTGTTAGCTTAACTACTACAATGTCCTTACTACTCTGTCATCGACTCTACGGTTGGACTTACATGATAATGTAAACTACAGTGACTCTGTCATGGGACAATCATACTTGTCGAGATGCTTATAGGAAGAAAATCAATATGGCTTACCGTATGATAAATACCTTGACAACTGCAAGGCCGTACTGGCCAGTGGAGTACAGGCCTGGGCCACTGTATCTTCCGATAAAAATCCGAGCCTACAAAGAAAGTGGTAGGCTACCTGAGTGCATCGTACGCTTAAACGCCTAGGAATCTGTGGGAAAATGTTTCTGTTTAGCAAATTCTAGACATAGGTTTTCGATTCCAATGAATGATGGCGGATTTGCTGAGATGCAGCATATTTAGGATAATATATGCATACATATGAATTTTCTCATTAGTCTGGTTGTGCATTGATCGAGGGGCCAGTTGACTTATAGTTTATGCTGTCGAACAGATGCAAGGAATAAGTAATAAGACGTCACATTTTACGATTATTTAGCTTCATCTCAAGAACAGCGGACGGTCTATAAAGTGTGTCTAATTGATACTACTTGGTGAAAATTTAAGCGATATTCAATAGAAAAACTTGATGTTACTAGACAGGTCGGCGCTTTGTTCAACTAGGTGAAAAACGTGCTGACTGACATCATATCAGTACTATTATTGACAGCATTATTCGTCCGCTTTCAGAACAGCTAATCAGTGTCGGTGAAAGAAATTACCCAACGTAGTTGTTTGAGCCTTGTAGACGGTATGGTGGGTTGTCGGTGTTCGGCTTTTCAGCTAGGATCTAGAAACTCCTCTCGCGAGGTGAGAGTCGCCACAACAGAAACCCAAACGCATAACATTTATTTCTACTGCCCTAAAACAGCGCTTGTCAGACTGGCACCATTGTCCTTCGTGACATTTAATGCTCACTTTCACTTAATGCATCCTCTCATTGGTAATGATTCTATTACTGATGACGAGTCCTTGCATTGCCATACGGATATACTTCAAACTGATTGATTATAGTGCCTGAAACTCACTCATTCAGGCAGTCGTATTTGGCTTGATTTCCTCCCAGCTTACTGAGTACGGCCCGACGTAGTTCATTCCCAGTTAGCTGACTGTGGAGTCCAAGTTTTTGACATATCAGTTCTCTCTGAAATAAAAGATGAATTTGACGTCATTACTTGCTAAGTCCGATAATAATACTGTTAGTGCCATTGGTCTTAATAACGCCATAAGTTTCAAGGCAAGTATAAAACTCGAATGGGCTAGGATGGGTGAGTGTTCTTGATAAACAGAACTTTTGCTCGTCAAAACCTTATTCTAGGTTAGTAGTTCAAAACTCAAACCATTTCTGTTGCCCTTCCAAAAGGCTTGAAAACATATGTCAATGGATATATTGTTGTGGCTTGATGTCATTATTAGTATCAACAACATCAGATTTACGCCATCTAGCAATTGACAAATCCGGTGAGTTTAGACAGAAATATGCTAAGTGAAACATTTTGGTCCGCGGGAGATTGTGCATTTGTTTGTAAAAGATGCCGGCGCTAGATTCTGTTTTATCTCACCCAGTTTTATGTCGCTATCTTTACTGGTTCTACACGGATACCACAGAAATGAAACCAAAGTAGTTGACTGGATTTGAAGAAAACGTGTTATTGTACCTGTTGACGGTGATGGCCTCACTGTAAATAGTGACAAAATTTCAAGAGCTACAAGCTTGAGGAAAGGCTAATGAGTGTCAAGTAATTGTCAACTGACGTTTTCTCTTTTTAACCAAGCCCTCAATAAGTTTCATTGGACTGACCTCATTTGGATAAGTTGGGCCACTCTTTGTGGTCTGAAAGCTCAAACACCACACTTGCAAATATTCTGGGCACGTTCAATCATGATGTAAAATTCCTGATATGGTCACAATGGTAATGGTGACGAAACGTTTGCAAATCAATTGCCAAGCTCGGCGAACAGACCAGTAGCCACCTGATCAATTACTAACCAATACACCCGAGCTACCAATATTCCAACACATGGTCACAATGGTTTAAGTCTTGATGGATCTTTTGGTTATCTATCCAACCAGTGCTGCTGAGTCCGACCAATCAAGACCTAACGGGTCAACAAACCCGAAAATAGTCTTCTGAGAAGATTATGATTAAAAATCCAAATATCCTTCAACATATCCTACTTTGAGCTGTACGGTGTTCGTGGAAGCAGGAAAATTCACACGTATATAGTCTCACCGGATCAGTGATTTCTCATCGTTGTTGGATTCTATTTTGGTGGTTGGTATACAGGTCACAAGATTCCTTCGAAAAAACCTAAAGCTCTATAGGTTAAGTCTTTAGAGAGTGTCCAACATATCTTGGGATAGTGCACTGTGAACGGGGTTTTTCTGCATGCTTAGATTGATAGATGTTTAGCACACAAAACAAAGTAGAATATGGGTAGCTTCATCCATATTTTCGGAACGATCGTCAGTCACATGAACATCACTCGTGGTTGCATTCTGGAATAATCCAATAACTCAGGCAGGTGTACCCTTCCCATAACACACTTCAGAAGAATAGACCGCTTGCGGCGTATCAGTGAGACGGTTCAATACCAGAGACCGAAAGGTCGCTATTTATAAGCACGTGAGGTAAAAACCTGTCAAACGCACTCAGTTATCATCGAAAAGTATACATAAGATGCCACAAATTTTTAATTATCCAATAAACAGATTGATCTGCTGACGCCAAAATGTAGCTTATGCAAACTACAAACTAACAAATTAGGATGATCCTACAATGGAAGCATGCTAAGATCGTGTCTGCTAACCACAATAACTGCGGAACGAGTGGAAGGTGCTGAATAAAACCACATTTATCACGAGCCACAGATTACATTCCTGTCCAAGAAGCACTGTTGAAGACTTGTGGAGTTGGGTACAAGGCTAGAAACACAAGGACCAAATAAATCTCTATTTTATGATATTATTCAACCGGGTGGGTAGCGCAAATGCTGTCTCATGACATAAACGTGGTCCTCTATCGCCAAAAAGTCGCAGAGTTTGACATGTGTTGTAACCCATCGCTGTCAGAAAAGTTGAGCTGAAAGCGTAAGAGCACGATTTAATTAGCCAACCAATGCGAATTTGAGTGTGACATCCACTCCTAAACAAGAACACACGATAATAAGTTTTATATCGTTTTTTTCGTTTGATAATCTGCATAAACAGAACTAGTTACTTCATTTAGGTCATTGTTCAGCCTAACTATAATGGTAATAAAACTAATTAAGTTTTGACCAAAAGTGCTTATTCCTTTTTGTAAAAATTGTAGCTATGGACCTGCTACATACCCAGGAGAGTTTTTGCGCCCCCGGTTTCAAATGGTCTTCCTGATGCGTCTGAAGCAGACCAAGATCAAGCATAAACAGAACAGCGTTGGCATAACCGGTATACCGAAGTGTACCCCGGATCACCGTTTCACATCCCGTGAGACCATAAAGTCCGATATATCTTGTAGAATCACGATTGGGATAGCCCTCCAGGTTGAATCCGGGGAATATGTCCATTGGAACAGCCATTTTCATCAAAGCTCCGTCCGCTGGGACTTCTTTAATCTGGAGCGAGAAGAATTTCGTTAAACGGTTATTGCACCCTGAGCAACCTAGCAAGTTTAAGATTATGCTGTTTATTCAACGATAGCATCTGATTACTACTCTCGAAGTCATTCTGGATTACCGGGAAGGAGAAACGTGCTCACTTTTTACAAATCGACAAGGTTGTCTGTGCCTTGGAAAAATAAAGGTTAACAGTTGAATGGCCTGCTATTATCAGTTCAGTTTTAGCCCACTTGCCTTGAAACCGACCACAAGATCAAAGTTGGGATGGATATGAAATATACTTTTGAACTTCCATTGTCGTTGCAGGAATCACGTTTGATCCTAAATCTTCACCACTACTAAAGTCATTGTTTACCATTTTGGACTTTGGGTTCAGAGCACCATGTACAGACACCGACAATCGCATAGTCAGACAAGCGTATTAAAACCAAATACTATAGACATGGGCAGTTTCCTCGTCCAGACTTACGTCATTTTTCCGGTGGACGTTCCTCGTACTTCATGTTTTCCCCACAGGGCGGGGTAACAAAAAGTTTGCATCCATCGAAAGGGGATCGACACTTCGAAATGCCGAGGTACATTAAATACAATTCCTTTTCCGCAATAATAGCGTCTCTTATGTTTGACAAAGCTACGGAAATCCTAGCAGCAGGAAGTTTTTTCATGTTTCAAGGTTTTGAAGGGAGCCATAAGCCATTACAGAGTAAAGATACGATGCATTATGGCTGCTACCGAATACTGCAGATTCTAAGACTACAGGAGGCCTTTTATTCTCCACTAGAGGGACAGTATTTGAAGTCAGTGTTGGGAAGCCACTGGAAGCCCAAACCGTAGGAATACGTTTGAAACCATCGAAATTATTCAGCCTACCACTTAGGTAAAATTCAGGGCAACCAGTGGATTCAGTGACATATGGGAAAACCATACTACCAATGCAGATGCTCTTCACAACATCGCTATCTCAAACAATCCATAAACTATTACGACAGTACTTGTGTACGGTTGGCCACTAGTCATGCGACGTTGTCTAGATTCAACCAGATGGAGTGTTATAAAGGCAGAATATGGTTAGTTCCTAATGGCATTCCATTAATCATCTCGTCCTTATCGAGACCCGTGAAGTGAACCTAGCGAGATTGGTCGCGCAGTACTATGGTCAACACTGCACTGTTCCCCACAGCTTCACGTAGCCGATATCCGTATGTGCACGTGTGGTGAAAATGTATCGAAATTAATTGTCCTTTTCAGCTCAGGTTACTGCTAAGATACAATGATTAGGATAAATGGGACTTTTCACGATCCCCAAGGTGGAGTTGATTTGTATCAGACCAAAAGACATTGAGTTCAGGGTCGATGCTAATAATGCCGGACGCTAATGTACGTTTCCATGCCTGCGTACGACTTTCTGGTATACTAAACATAAGGCTATTCGAAGTTCAAATTGTGTAGACAACGGGCAATCAAGTAAAACACATTTGTTAGTAGCATTGCATAATGCTTTTTAGGAAGACATCTTACTTTAGTGAACTCCTGATCTTCGAGACCGCATATTCCATGAGATCCTTTCTCGAAGTTTATGAGTTAGACAAGTCTGCTAGCGGCAGATGCAGAAGGTGAATGAATAGGAAGCCCGTATCACAATGGCAACCTTCCAGAAACTCAGATAAGTGACCCGTTGTGACTTATTTGTATTTGGCTTTCGAATATCGCTTACGCCAGTGCATTCGTCGTGGTTTTCGATTAGAGACTATGGGCCAAACCAGACACGTGATTTCTATATGGAATTGTACCTTCACACCAAGTCAGAAAAAAATTTCAGGGGACATGAACAAATTCCAAAGTTTGCCTTGGAACTTGGCTATATCCCAGTGCCCGAAGGACTAAACCACCTCTGACTTACTTGCCCATTCTCCAAATATTTGGCCCCGTTCATTATGGTGGACAAGGCTGCCTCAGGACTCCAACTGAATTTATATCGCAGAGGATTACTTGAGTTCTCTGGTGCTGGTAAACCACCAGTGTAGGAACGGTAGGATATGACCCGACCGCCCATAGCACGGACATTGTCGATACACTCTTTGGTTAGTAGGTGGTCGATACCCGGATCAAGCCCGATTTCCATGACTGCGGTGATACCGGATTGCTGAATGCTATAAGAAAGAAAGAATACAAGATAGTGATTTTGAATCATAAACCGCTTGCGCATCTCCGTGTTTCTGTCAATATGGATATGCAACAGACCAATGGTACTATTTAGAATAGAAGCAAGTCACCTTAATGGTCCGGTTAAGAGAAGGCCAGCATTGGTGTGCTCTGTGTATAGGGATCAGCTGACAAATCTAATGTCCGGTAAACGTTGAGAATCCAGATGCAGATACTCCTGCGTAAATCGAACCTCCTTGTCTTCAAGACGACTATGTCCACCAGATATGACTTTCAATTTACGAGCGTCTATCACCGTATACATGGTTAGTTGCACATTAAAAGATATCTTCTAGTATTGTGTAAGCAACCAATTACTTAGAAAATAAAATGCAAAGCGAATGGCTTTCCAGTTTCGAATTAAGCGTAGACTGTTCTCTCAGTATTCTGTCTCGAAATCTCTGGGACGGCTACAATACCAGCTTGTGACATTCCATGGATTTCTACTGAGGTGAGGGTTCTTCGGCCTGGAATATATCATATCCCCACAGGTGTTCGCGATGCTGCATCCTTAACTGCAGTTGAAATCTTCTGAAGAATATGTTGGAGCTATTAGGAGAACGGGACAACAATAAGTGGCGCCAGACTAGCGAATCTCATCATTCTCCTCGAATAAGCGCTATAATGTGATCAAAAGTACCCACAGCTTGATAGAAACTTTCGGATCATCCATGAAACCTGGGACCTAAAAAACTTATAACTCTTACCCATAACTGTCTGTATTGGTTATCCTGGTTAATCTTACCTCGCTTCTGACAACTTCATCCAAAAACTCGATCTTTCTACGAGTCATGTCGAGTCAAAAATAGCTCTGTGCACTTTGAGGGATGAATTTTCATTGAAAAAACTCGTGCCGGATCAATTTTGAATTCAGACTTAATCAATACCAAAAGTTCCTGTAGATGAATTATGTACAGGGGTTAATTGCAATAGGCTGATATGGCCTGTGTGTTTATCGCGCGTTAGTATTTTCCGTTAAGATTGTTGCATGCGAGTGCCAAAGAGTTTCCTGCTTATAAAACTGAGTAAGGCACTCATAAAGTTCCTGCCGCACTTATGGACTCGCTCATTTTTTGGAATGTGAGATAATACTAACTCAAAAGTAGCCATGCAAGATGATGGGGGAACAGTAAATATAATGGAGAAGAATGCATAAAATAATGAGTTGGCTTCAAGCCTGACAGTATAAATCTAAGACCACCGTACCCTTGTGAAAAAGCAACCTGAAACGAGTTCGTCTGTTATGGTGACTCTGAGTTATCTCACACTCGTGGGTTCTGAGAGACGAACATTCGCAGCTGTAAGCGCGGACAAATTTTCATCACGACCTCGTCTCCGCCAACCAATGTCAAAGGTAAAAGTACACCATGGTATTTTGGAAAGATCACCTCAAGGGAACGTTTTGAGAACAGTCTAGCGAGTTCGTTCGTTTAAGCGTGTAATTTAATGTGGGCTTCTATTGTGCGATAACCACAAGCAATCGCAGCCTCGCCAACATACCAATACAACTGTAGAAACTCACAGGCAGTTTGGGGCATACAAGGTATCAGTTTGGGATTTTTCGCTGACCAGACATGTAAACTGACCTCGGCTAACCACAATTTTTTTGAACCAAGTGATTTCAGGAAGGAAAGTCGCATAAGTATGGTAAAGTACAGAGAAGCTCCTGTGATTGGCCGTGTATAGGTTTGATATTTTTTGGTTGTTTGTCATGGTTGATATGAGATTTAGTGTCATCTTCCTTCAAACCCCAACCTCCAAGGCGGAATTCTTCAGTGGGGTTATCATGAGTTTCCTCTAACTCTCAAACTTGGCCGTCACTTGCCTACAGTTCAATCGTCTCAACTGAAACGAGCGTGCATGAACAAAGTACGGGAGAAGAATTCCTGTAGTGACATTCCAGGAAAATACTTTCCCCTCTGTTGTTTGATGTTTTGAGATGAGTTACGGTGTTGGTCTAGCAGTACACAGTAACCGATTTCGGAATTCAATATTGTTAACATAATGCTGTGCTGCATACTCAGTGGTTGCCAAATGTGGCAAACCTTTGGATATCCTGGTTTCGTAGAGGTCAAGTTTCTTGGCCACATAGTGACACTGTTTGCGTCTGTCGCATGAAGACGGGTGGTGTGTCACCACCAAACTCTGACGCAAGAGAACAAAATCCCACTGGGCTTTCTGACAGACATTTCTGCCAGCTTCGTAAAAAGATATTTGTTGTCCTAAAGATATATCAAACGTAATAATGTGCTATTGTTTGAAGAGCGGGAAAAACCAATATTTCACTATGAAACGAGGAGTTAATTAATAACAAAGAAATATCATTATTTTCATTAGAAAAAATTCAAATCACACAGATTACAATGAAAGATGTTTCCAGCTTCTCAAAACATCAGTTGTTTGAAGCCGGCATGGGTGATGAATATCATTATAAAAGAACGTCATTATCTGAAGTATGAATCGTTTTATCAGTAAGATAAGATTGAAAACTCGGGACCTGTCAGCCAGATAATTCAGTCACCTATTGGTCATGTCTCACCTTCGTTCCATTTCTTTTAAATTTGGGGTGCAATAGCTTGCCGTCAGAAGATTTCTTCTCTGCTTCACACATTCTGTAACCACGGTTGGATGGAATCGCCATGGAATAAGGCTGAGGACAAGATCACTCTTTTCGACCAGGTTGGCCAGGCTTTGGTTATCTTCCAAAACATTCATATTCCGGGCGAGAATATTGGGATATTGCCGTGCAAGTTCGGAAAGCTGGTCATATATGTTTGACACTGCGATGTGGAATCAGATATAGTATCGCGGCATAAAGATATTTGAGGTAATTTAACCAACGCTGTTTATGCTACTTTACTTTCGAAATTTGCAGTGCTATTCAGCAAAAATGGAAAGCTTGACTCTTGCACCTTATCCATAGAGGATATCCCCGTCAAAATTCGAAAGCATACTTTCTTTCCATTCCATTTGTATTAGCAGTTCACGTTTGTAAAGTGGACTACTTATTTGGTTGGGTAATTCAATACTGAAACCATTAATCGTTTAGACAAAGCAGTGTATTGCACTGCACGATAACGCCTAAAATTACGCTACTTGAAAACCACTCATTAGCTTATTCGGTTAGCCAAATACTTACTTATGCACAAACCCATCTCAGAGAAATCACGAAATCTTTCGAAGGAACTTTCTCGCATTCCGTGTTTCACTTAATATAACCAAGCCCAGATGGCTACAATGCAGTTCAGCAGGTCGGATATTGCTTTTGTCGACTAATCTCTGATGGCGAAACATTTCATGTCTTTTCATCACTTCCTCAGTAATGAGTAGTATTTATTCTTTGGTTCGAATATGTACGTTGGGCCACTGCAACACGAATATCAATATAGCCTTACCATTGCTTGATATTCCATCATTGGACTATGTACCTGCGTGTCGTACGCTTCGAGAATTCGAACATGTTCCTCTCGCTTATCCCTATCAATGACACTGACAACATTAAAATGGTCAAGGTTAGACTGAAAGTAGGGACCGTTGATTGCACAAAAGTCGAGATGGAGCGGAGTTTTCACACAAGTGAAGTCAGAAAAGGCGACGCGGTTTGAAAGTTCTTCTCACCAAACGAACCGGAACTAGTCACAATGACCTGGTTTCAAATAAGGCGTAGGCAAACATAGCTATATTGCCACCCTATACCCAAGTTGTAATAGACTGGAGTCGAAACAGACTTTCCTGTAAACACAAACGGTGTTTAAAACTCGGGATTAGAATGGGTTTCGCTGCGCACTGGAGCTGTTCATTTCCAGTTCACAGATTTTTACAAACAAGAGATGATCACCTTGGGCATGTAAATAAGTAAGAAAGCTAACATCAGAAAAGATAGTAAAATCTACATCTGGTTTTCAATAATTCTTTGAATGTTTGCTGTCAGTTTACTCCACTCTTGATAATCTCCAAAAACACCTGTTTAGATTCAAGGTTCTTCTTGAAATGAAGATATTATTAAAATATCCGAAAGTGTGTTAGAAAATCTACTTTTTACTGGTGACATTCATGTTCTAGCTCACTCGCTGCCGAAATAATTCAAATTGGGTAGATATTTCCTAACAGATAATAATCTGTCGAGCGACTGACGAATTAAACTCCTTCGTAACTTAAGCTGGTGTCAAAGGGGTACTCAGTTGGATCCTTGATGTGTCCCTCATCTGTGATATTGTTCAAGTGAATGTGCTGTACACTGACCGCTGGTACTAACTTTGAGATATCGCAGTATAGCTTCCCTATGGAATCCACTACTCTTTAGGTTGCTGAAAGCACTTCGCCAAACTTTCATGTATCCTGGTGCTAATAAGATAAGAGTAGTCTGCTTCAAACCTATCTTCTGCGTCGTTCACATGCAAGTTACCCCGTTTCTCAATTTTATTATTGAAGAGATACTTGGCGTGAAACTTGTGCTAACAATTCTGTTAGCATTTTAAACTGGCTTTTGGGTTTCGTCACCAGTGGTTCAGCAATGTATACTACTGATGAAGCATGCGAGTAGCCTATGGTTTGGTGTCCAAGCCCAGCCTGTGCATCTGATGGAAAGTGAAGGTTATTACGAAGATTATGGAACTGGTTTGAAGTGCTCGTTTTCTTTTGCTCACTAGTCAATGAACGTCCAGGAAAGTTCAACAGGACGCCTGGGAATCGTCACTCTCCAAAATTTTGTGCAGATGAGATGTTTTCTCATGCCTCTAATGGCTTGTACCTGATTAGTTCGTGTGTCCTGGTGAGCAACCTTACTAGTATGAAACCCGAAGCAAAGAGTTAAGTTTATTGAACTTGTGAGGCCTCAGAATTCTTGGATTTTATATACTTCGGTCAGAAGATATCAGAACTATAAATCTTGCAGTCAAAAAACCATGCTTTGATGAAAAATCTAACATGTTGAAGTCATCAACCAAACGCTGCTTACACACTTTCGCATGTAGAGGACTTACCCACAGTTAGTTCAATACTTTTGTCGCGGGAAAGGTATTCGATCACCGACGGGACAACGTAGCCGGCTCCCAAGATGAGAACTTTTTTCGACGAACTCGAAGTGTTGGAAATACCCGTCTTCTTCCTTAAAGAGTCGATGTATTGAAATTTGGGTGTAAGTGCTCCGTTTGAGGCAATAATTGCCTGAAAGAATACATGAGAGGGTCGTTTGCATTCAGGGTGAATAAAATATGCCTAATTTGTTGAATTCGGTGTCAGGGTTCCGGGTTTTCCTTGCATTTTGTCACCTATCAAGTGTTTCTCTATTTACAGGTGAGGCTGTACACATCTGGTCCCTTAAACCAGCATGGGCTTCTGACTAATCACCTGAATTTAGTTTCCAAATTCTGCTACTCTTTTCGAACCGTTCCCTTCAATACCGAGAGAATTTCACTGAAATAGCTTGGAAAACTGCAAAAATAAATTTCACATGTGGACAAATTATAGTGGATCTGGACCAAACAAAGTAGATGGAGGCACAAACAGATTTGACGAATAGAATTTCTTTAAACGACCTAGTGATCCTTTTAGAGCTTACATGTTGACGTCTATCTAAATTTCTCACAAACAATTTTGATCTTCAATTTGCCGATATGATTTGTAAACCGTTGATTGGATGGTCCTGAAAGAATCCGTGTGGAAGAGGCTACACTTGACACACTCACACCAAGTAATATTTGAGATTCAAGTAATGTTCATTACAGCTTCGGTTTCGAACCTAGTCCACCCGTGTTTCCCAAATAAAGCAGGAATATCTTCAACAAACCCGATGGGTGTTATTTAACCAATGCTGGTCCACTGATAATCAGCGGAATAATGATGACTGGTCATACTAAGACTGATGTGCTGGTTGGAGACGCTGATATTTTGACGTATTTCCTGTGTATTGAACACTTGAAGATGTTCGAAGCAGCTATTTTGTTGAAAGTTTATATCCATCAAAAGTGCACATCCGACGATTGTCAACTGTAATGTAGATCACCACACACTGCGTACACTCAGTTTGTTAGGTATTAGTAGAAATGTCAGAGTTTACCCAGGTTTACTCAGCTTTTTATGAAATTTCAATGAAATGCTGTTACTTCAGTTGTATTTTGGTGTAATGAGCAAAGTGGTGAAGTTTTTGAATACCTTTGGCTCACCAGAGTTTAGTTATTTGCGTGCGTTGCCAGAGTCTTTGGTTCATTTACTTACCTATGAGTTTTAGAAGAATAGATTAAACAATCATACTTTTTGGTCTCTAGTTATGCACATTTCCTACTGGTGCAAGCATACTGATGTTTTCTATGTACACCTTAATTCAAATGCACATGCAAGCATACAGGTTAATTTGAAAGAATTAGTGGACTAGTCTTACAAATATTTACTTCCCCTTCCAGAATGTCAATGCGTTTCCTCCCTCATATCAGGTCAGTGAAATCACCACAAATATGCTTTTGTATCTTATAGGGCAACCTTGTGAGTAGTTTCATTATGGAAATATACTGCGATATCCCGACTATCGTGCCAACTGAATCATGGGGCAGCCTGTGTGCAGCACATTCAGTTGCAGAATATCATAAACGAGAGATTCACTTGAGTCTCTCGTGAAGACCAAATTGATTCGCAAGTGAGTGTATTTCTCGTAAACAGTGCAATTTGGGTTCAAGTAGATCATAAGTTTGACGGAAACTTGGGGACTGCGCCTACCTGATGAGCCCCAAGAAGGGCGAAACCGGTCGTGGGCTGTCGGATAATTTTCAGCAACCTTGTGAGTAGTTTCCTCCACCACAAAGTTGTTATTGTTTCCTATAGGGCCTATCAGTTTGGTACTGCATCAAGAGTATTCGACTAGGACATACCTCGCGTGGCTTGTCCCCCACAAGGCGACGATGTTAAGAAGGACTGTAACAAACTGCATTAACCGTGTTGCTTTTTTCAAACTCAGGATTGTAGACACCCACCAGTCGATCGCATGAGCAAAAGGCATGGTGTAAAATGGACCAGGTTTGTTGCATCCATAAAAATCCGATTGGCCGCATCATATCTGTCGTATACCAATCCTATTCTGATAGGTAAAATTCGAAGAGAACAAGTGTCCTTTAAGGTTTCAAAAAATGAGACAAAAGAGAACCTAGTGTCGAAACAGTGACAGAACAAGTGAAACTGGAACTTAATTATTAACAGCCAACCCTCTCTACCTTCAAACCAGCTATTGCAACGGAAAAGCAGAAGATAATTGGCTACGAAATTTTTGGTCACGTAGGCATCTGGCTTCTAATCCGCAAAGCTTGGGGACTAGGGTTACCACAGTCGCATCAATCCCCACTTCGCTTCTATCAGAAAGGACTTCAAAATCAACTGCATGAAGTTAATAAGAAACTCACGTTTTTAACCACAGGTCCCGCGTTGTATCTATCAAAAGGTTGTGTGGCGTTGGATCTTACCTGAAGTAGACAAAATAAACCGGACCAAGCTAAAAGACAAAGCTCAGTGTAACTTATAGTGTGGATGAGGATGCTAGTGTGCTGGGGCGGAAAACAGTATTCACGCTTTTCTCGATAAACTTTTGGAGAAAATATTTTGGAAATTCTGATTATGCTGAGCACTTTGTTTTCTACATGTCTTGCACTTTATTTTATCGTGTAATAGGATCGGTTTCTACTTAGTCATTTTATCCCTGGCACGCTAAATGAGGAAGTCAAAGTTTTTGCTCGTTAACTTGTTTGAAAAACTAGACTGATACTGAGATAAATGACCCACCTCATAGGGCTTAACAAAACCAATTTTGTGACGTCCAGCCTTGAAGCGCAAAAAATCGGGAACTGTAAACTTCGTCTCGGAGCTTTCGAAAATTTCACATATTTCGGACTATGCATGTCTCCAAACGAACGGTAGACATAGATCATCAGGATAAGAGGATATACTCGGTACATCTTGCAGCCGGCTTTTATTGAGATGGATCACAATAAGTTACGATTGGCGGTGACCGTTACGGATTTTTCAAGATAACGGCTATTTTTGAGAAAGACGATTAAGCGGGGTTGTTCCGGTCCTCGGGCGACTAAGCAAGATTGTGGCACGAGTTAAGTCCCAAGGAGGACATCCTGAATGAAAACAACGGTTGAAGTCTCAATATATCATAGTGTTCCGAAAGTTGTGTTCCATAAAGGAGCTAAATACGTCTGATGCGTAGACTTACGCTGACAGGGTGACATTATAATACGCATATGGTTTCAGGTGAAGCTGTTCATTTTTGGCATGACTCAGGTATGCTGGAATATAGGGTGCTTCCGAACTGGAAAATATATAAATGAGATTCTTTTGCTGACATTTAGCTGCGCGATAGTATTTCTTTACCCATCGTGATGGTATAGTTGTTAGGCATTTCCGATTGATGCTCATATGAGTGATGTGGCTCTTCTCGAAACCGAATGAGTTCACAGTCCTCAAGAATTCGTCCCACAATCTCAGCAGTGGCAGGGAGCTAGCGCTCAGCGATCGCCATGCAATATTAGTGAAACCATCAAAAATACCTGCTTCTATTTCGCCACGTGAACGGATGAATTGTGACATACAACGGGCATCCTTCACCTAGAGACCATTTTTTCTTTCTCAGCGGGATATGTACTCGGCTTTGAGATAGTTCACATCCTTACTCAGTTATCTGCATTACCACAGACGCTGGTCACAGAAAACAACGACTGGCTTGGCAGAATTTGCGTCTCAGAATGAAATTCGTTCTTTCTTGCAAACGCAACCAAACTGCCCAGCGTGATGGACTATTAAGTACAAACAGACGGAGTTAACTAATTTCAGGCTTTCGAATCTCTTCAGTACACATTTTTGCCCAAAAATAAGCTTTTTGCTTCACACACGAAACCGAATCTCATTAGATGAATCTAATTTCCGACAGAATGAATAGCGCGATTATCAACAAAATATATTTACCGCCTCGAACGTGGTGTCGCTAACAACGTTAAAATTTGCGGCTACAGCACTCCAAAAAGTGCATTCAAACGGAGGCGGACTCTGAGTAACTGTATTTCAGTCTTCGACAGACGCGTCAAAACTGTTGTTTCATCATGTGTCAGTATAAAGTGGCTTACAACCACGTCAGACCAGTGAATTTAGCCAAAGGTTCAAAGTAAGTAATGCCCGAACAACATACCACTCTAAGTGCAGTTTGGAGACTTTTAACAAAGTGGAGTAGATGGGAATCGATAAGTCTGCCTCATTGTGGAAGTCACGCGTAGAGTTGAATAATGAGGCTTGGTTTGGAGTTAGTTCTGACTGGTTACTTTCGAATACTTCCGAAACATTATATATGAGGATTATCAGAGTTGATGCCAGAACCCACACTGTGGACTCCAGTTTGGAGCTTGAAATTGGATCACCGAGGTGGCTATCCACGATTCAAGCCAGCAATAAAGCACCTGTCGAATGAGCTCGAGGCCGATGGATCCCCTCGGACGTCTTTCCACTTACTTTTTTCAGTCTCATAATGTGCCATAATATTCAATCGTCCTTTTATTGGAGGGGGCAAAGTAGCCATTGGTCAGTGATTGAATCTATATAGTGAGCGTATCGCATTTTTAACTCACCATATCCGGTAGATAGGGTACTAGAGCAGTGCCAAAATGTTCGCTTGCCTCAAACGGAAGTTGTGCAGGTAGGTTGTCAATAGAACACATCAGAATACCATCACCGGCAATGCTGTCCGTGATAAAAGTAAGAAAGAACAGACCAGATGATGTGAATGGAAAAGGGGAGTGTTATGACCCGTAAACTGATACTAGTGTGTAGCTTAAGGAGCGACCTCTGGAAGTATGCGCTATACGAGTTTGATATCCTACTATTCGTCCTCCTGTTACTTTTCTCTAATAAGAGTTTGTCGCTAGGTTTCTACCGTCTGCGGATCTTCCCAAGAGTTTCAGAAAATTTTAAATATGGAAGGTTAATTTAGTAGGGGTAAAGGAGTGGTGGACATTAATGCGTGCATTCGGTATGGTTGAATGTAACTTCGTTCAACCAGCTCCGAACAGGGTTCAGGCGAAGGTGACATGAACGCAGTCTTTTCTTGTCCAACATGAAACATCTTCGAGAATTGCCATATTGGAGGGTTACATCATCCATGAGATTGTGGGTGATGCCGGAACCAGGAGGAAAAAGATTGTTGTCAAACTGGAGGAACGTTGTTCGGAAAAGAAAAAAAATTCTCAGAAACACTTGCACTGACTTTGTGCATCCGAGAAGGAGAACTATCAGGATATATCTGAGGCGGCTGTCTTTTTCCTAAAGTCTTCAACTCAGGATTAGGTCCGTACATTTGCGTTCTGACAATCACCTGACGGTGTATTATTGGACAGAAAATTGTTAAGTCATCTGGGACTACCAATTTGATTTTCCCAAAATTGTCCAGGACAGATGATCATACGTGCATTACGTATGCCAGTACGGCAATGATGACCGCTCAGTGAGTCGTTAATTCCCCATCCAAGTAGGCACGGTTTGGACCCCGGAACTTTGCATGAAATAGCAGTGATGTAGTTGATGCAGTATTCGCTAGTACCTGGCAAATTAACGCCCGGCATCATGGAGTGCGGGATTTTTTATAGTGGAAGTGAGCGAAAGAGGGGAAGGTCGAGGTGCTTCGGTAAGAACAGGGAGAAACCACAAGAAGTTCAATAGCAATAAGTAATGACAAACAGTCCTATTCAAACTACTGATTAATGAGAAATTGTTTGGAACTCCTGAATAGACCGTAATTGAATTTTGTGGAGAGATCGGGGAATTTGAGGCGAAATGTCACGCAGTTGTTTCAGCATTAGACTGAAGTGGGGGGGGGGAACAGGGGGTGGAATGGGAATTCGGAGTGAATACTTCTGTACGTCTTGAGGAGTATTGACTTCTGGCTACCCTGATGGATAATTGACCGGCTGTTTGACTAAAAGACATATCTCTGGTAGGTCGAGAGCCCGAGCACTATAAGAGGGGGATGCTTGGAGCGTCGATCGCTATATTTTGAGTTTTTATTCTGGTAGAACTCATCAACAAGCCATTTCGGAGGTGTTGGTTTATATGGTTTGGACAAATAAGCTATAGAATGGAGTAACCTCTTGGTCAGAAAAAATAGGAAGTTGTAGGGTTGTTGCAGATGTGGGAGTAGGGTCGACATTATCTTAGTTGGCAAACCAGTGGACCCAAGAAGTAAGATAAGACTGATGCTCACGGATAAGCGTTAGAGTAGATGAGAATAGGCAATACCATTCGTTTGAGGGGCCAATGAATCAGGAGAGATCAAGCGAACAGAGTGAGAGTTGCCTGAGTAAGAGGCGATTGAAGTTCTGAAGTGATTCACCGTCGCGTCCTAGAATTCTGATAAGACAAGTGAATTTAAGGTAAGTATCGGACGCTGAGGTCGCTGAAGACCCAGAAGTTACCAGCGACGCTTGAGTGTAGAATATTTTCCGGTAATACTCACCGGCGATAAGTGTTGAGTGATGTAAGTGCCATTTGGTGAGCGATACATAAACGTGTTTGTTGGCAAGTAAGAAGGCAATGGTAGGTCAAAATCATCCAAAGTCGGCCAAATAAGAGTCTGGAGAGAGGAGAAGTCTAAGTGTGGGTCATATACACTGCCCCTCAAACAAGATAAGTAATATAAGGAACAGGCAGGAAACTGGGTGGTCTCGACATATGTACTACTGGACAGAAAGCGATAAAGACCAACTAAGTAAGTTACTGTTGTTGTGCAAGCCACCAGTGTTGCTGAGTTGGGCTTCAACATTGGAGGGAGTGGCGATGAGCTTTGAATTTTGATACTTGTTTGACAGGTGGGAGACGGGCAACATAACTCCGGTGCTTGGAGCGGATTAAGTGGTGCCTTCAAGATTTAAATCATTCTGTATATATCTTTCATCCGACAGCACTCTCCTTGGCAACCCTTAGTATGAACGATTGGCTGCGTCCATTTACCCATATTGGGGATTCGCCTCCCCCAAATGCGCGAACCTCCCCTGCACAAATGAATTTACTTTTCAAGATAACAATATATTGGAACATTTGTTTGAAATGCAAGTTTACGGCTCCACTGTTAGCTCATCTGTGAGTAACACCAACTGCTTTAGGAAAAATCCAACTGTATCGAAGTGGATGCACTTTCTAGAGAATTTCAAGTCTTCCCGTTGTTTTTTCTCGTTGACAGTCGCGTGCATATTCTATCCGACAAATTTCGGACTGTACACAAGATTCGTTTGAATTTCTCAAAGCCAGTGTTTTGTTTGAAGTTAAAGTTCTACTTTCTTCTGTGGACTTACGTTCGTTTTTCTTCGTCAGTTCGTGGATCATACAAAACGAAGGGTTCATCGACTGTGGTACATTCATCGGTGAATTCAATAGACCCGTTAGTGTCAGCCGAAATATCGCAGATTGCAATCATCCGGTATGGCAGGGTTGGACAAGCTGTGGGGAAATACCGTGCAGGAATAAACACAAAAATCTCGTGCAAGTGACTTTTTAAGAAAGATTAACCACAGACATCATTTACTGGGTTGTGTGAAAATGATTGACAGTGATTTTGATTGTTGTTTCTATGACCGTTATTAAAAAAACTTAAAAACAGTGTTGTGTGCATTGGTATGTGTGCAGCGTTAACCTCAGGTCGTGCAACTTGACTGTGTGGTCAGCTACCGATGAGTGTACAATCCTAAGTTTTGATATTCGTCCTCACTGAAGCTCGTGAGATGTTCATACTCTGGAACTATCAAACACCATAGTTATATCCGATTAGCTCACATTCAAAAAATGTTTAATCACTACTACACACGCTCATTTTGAAAGCACTTGAAGTACCCAGTACGATTAAACGCGAAAAGTTCACACACAGTAGTGAGTTGTATATTCGGTAATTCATTTTGAGCGACAGCTCAAGAACCACTCTGGTAGTTCGCATCTACAACGCCCCTTAGCTAGAATAGTGAGACCGACTAACTATTCACAGCACCAAACCGACTAAGTTCTGTACCCGCCTCTTGAGTCCTGTGAAGAGATCAGCGGAATTCCTTCCATATAGTTCGGAATTACCGGCCTCGCCACTTCCTTGCTAGTGGCTGTCCAGAAGTACGCATTTAGCAGATTTTCGAGCCTTGACCTACCCTACATGCACTACATGTCTCTTTTAGTCTGCAGTGATGCTTGTCGAAGGTCTATGATATTGACCAGGTCCGTGGTCCTCCGAGCGTGTACCCCAAGCATATGTGGCGTACGCTAGTGAGAACAAGTAATGAAGATCTAGGTGTCATTTTTGGCTTCACCACTTTAAATAAAAAACTCAAATACTCCAAGCAGCGACTGTATTAGGGGGTGAATCGAATTGAGTACCCCAAAGAGTTATGAAGTCTTCATATACGGTGCGACCTTTCTTCCGTCCTATGTCCTCTTCTACTCACTGGACCATTCACCGTAACTCGAAATGTTTCGGACTTGACTTGTAGTTTCTATTCTTACACCGCTGGACTGATCTAATCATATAGCTTTGTGCCTTCTGTTCGTTCTGCGTCTTCTTGTGGATTGAAGTCATAAAAAGGCACCATGATGAGTTAGGAGAAGGCATCGGGAAAGAAATCGACAGTAAGATCAGCATCTGATAGAGGGTAGAACTTTGCACTGCTCCACTGGTAACTCGTCCTGCCTGCTGCTAGGTATCCTTGATTCCATCCTCCACTGCGTTTGGCTGATGAATGATCTTATCCACTTTGAAACTGCTTCTCGAACGCAGACTTTTTGAACCTACTTCGGTAGCTCAACTTGGCAGTGTACCGAATTGACATGCATTGGGTGGTTTGTCTGCCGGTGTTTTTTGGCATCCTAGCAAGATTTCTTTACTGTTGGTGGGGTTGAGATCAAAGATGGTCTTTTAACAAATCCATGTTGAGCCCAGTCAATCCCGCCGCAGTCTAACTTCCCTTAGACTACCTTTTCCAAATCTTTAAGGGTCTCTGACGTTAGGTACATGAGCCCGTATTCTTTCTTTATACCGGGGATGCTACTTTTGGAGAAATGTCTCACTAATCCCAAGCCAGGATCTCCCAGGGTTTTCAAATTCACATGGACTCGATGTAAAGGCAAGCCAGTGTGAGACTTGACCTACGTCAACTTAATCGAATGCAGTCAGTCTTGTCCGTGTAGCTTGGTGGCGTCCAGTCTGGTAAGAAGTAGTTGTTTTTTGCTCCAGGGTGCTGTGTATTTGGCAGACGGTTTCCTCCAGCATCTTACCATTCTTTAGTGTTATTATGTATTTCGTTAGCAGTGACGCTGTGGCGGGAGAACTTTGAAAATCCTTCCGCCGAAAAACTGTCGCATGCTTGATCGTCTGTGCCAACGAAATCGTCAGGTCCCATCACATAATTCCTGGCAGTCCGTGTCGGTTACGTGCCGGTGGGTGTGATAAGCGTGGTGGTTGTCGTATTATGGTCACTACGTCTCATTCACTGCTACAAATGCTGACAATAATTTGTGGCTGACAAGAATTTCTGCAGATAAGTTCTCTTTATCTGGGTGTCATGCCCTGTAATGACACATCCACTAATCATATATACATAGACAGATAGGTAATCGTACTGTGCTTTGTTTAAGCTTTGGAACTTAAGTGATTAAACCCGAAAACATCCATGGCAGCTCTGTTTTTGTAAAAAAAAAGTACGCATTGCACTGACACATTGCGGGGAAAACTGAAACTTTGAATCGGATGGCGTAAAAAGGGATGGGCGCGGAACAAATGCTGAAGCCGGTATATGAAAACTAGAAACGAATGGGACCAATGTTTCATGGGAATACGTGAAAGTCCAGCTTGTTGGGGGAGACGTATTATTTCCAACTTACCCTCGTCTAGAGGACTCCCTTTGACATTTGCTTTTACATTGAGCAGTGATTTTACGTTTTCGCGGGTCAGGATAAACATCCATGCAGCTCTGTTTTTGTAAAAAAAAAGTACGCATTGCACTGACACATTGCGGGGAAAACTGAAACTTTGAATCGGATGGCGTAAAAAGGGATGGGCGCGGAACAAATGCTGAAGCCGGTATATGAAAACTAGAAACGAATGGGACCAATGTTTCATGGGAATACGTGAAAGTCCAGCTTGTTGGGGGAGACGTATTATTTCCAACTTACCCTCGTCTAGAGGACTCCCTTTGACATTTGCTTTTACATTGAGCAGTGATTTTACGTTTTCGCGGGTCAGGATTCGGTCTATCCGTGAGTCCCAGTACGTTGCGTTTATGAGCACAGAAGTGTAGGGTGCAATCTTGTAAACAAGAGTAACACAGGAAGATATACAGTTAGTGCTTTGTACCGATATCAAAGTATACTTCAGTAAAACCTCTCTTGTGGGGCCAACTTTTGATGCTCTGCTTACAAAAAATGGTGTATTGGATCAGTGTAGTTCGGTGTGAAACTTTGGAACAAGGTTGACCATTTCACTATGAGAATTTTCCTTATCAGAGCCTAGTATTTCCCTAACTTGGAAATATTTTCTCCCTAAAATCATGGATAATTTCAGTTGTGCAAACGAAAAAGTACAGTATTTTATGGCATTTGGCTACCAGTAATAAGGTGCAGGAAGAGACACATAAAAACAGTTTAAATAATCCTTTGGCTTCCCGAATAATGCAACCGGTTATTGAGTGTTTCTATACCCAAACTCGGGATCAGTGACGGAAAGTATTCAGTGTGAAGATCTTCGATAAGTAGGTACACCCATATAATTTTCAAAGACGTGAAAACCTCTCTCTTATTATCAAAACATCGCCGCATTATACACTACCAACTATCCGTATGAGGCCAATCTGCAGTCCAGTCACAAACCGTTAGCCAAATTTTCATCCGTATGGATATGAACGGAGTAAACTCTTGGTTATTTGGGTATCTTTGGAGGAAGAAGTAGATGCATTAAATGATTTGGGAGCGTCACCAAATGCATCCAATTAAAATATCGTTGTTGACGAAGTTGCGGGAAGTAGGAAGATTAGGCATGCTGCTTGGTCACTGGTTTGCGGAGCGAAAGTTTCATCACCAATCGAGGCGACATCGTCAATATGAGGTCCAGTGGCTATTCCTTTTCTTTTACCTGTGATTATGTAGTTTCTGGACAGTATCTAATAACTCTAAGTAACTATTTTGTTTTCAGATGGCATGCAGGCAATTCGGGTGGTGAGCTTGAAATCTGGATTTTGTTGTGGTCAGCCATGTTATCCGCGAAAATTTTCGGTAATTCGCTTCAGGAGGGCTGCGATTTCTAAAGAAGAATGTCCGTGAGAAATCAGCGTTTCAAACCGAGTTTCAAACCAATGCGCTGCTTGAACGCAGCAGAAGGCTATAAATATAGGATCGATCGCATGCCATCCCACGCATATGATTCTTGTGAAAAGACTGTGGTAAATCAGAGGCCGAAGAGAAAACGGTAATTGGTACAGGAGTCCACCGAGGATGACAGACTTGCATCCGAGACCAAAGTCGCGTACACTTATTCTGTCGTTCTGCTGTGTTCGCACGCACTTCACTATCAGAAGGCCTTGACGATTCATTCAGTTAAGGGACCGTCCTATAGGCAGTGGACAGTTGACTTCTAAGCCACATCTGAAATTTTTTGCTGCCTAATTTTTAAGATTTCACCTGCACCAACACTTATATAAACCACAAAAATTCATGTAATCGTCTCTTCACTACTTGTGAACGATAAGTAGTAACCCAAAAAAGAATACTCACCAAAGGTGCCCAAGCGTTCCCTCGAGGAGCTGTTAGTTACTAACCAGATCTAACTTTCACCGTTGATTCTGGACAGCAACCGACTGCCGTTTTCGAATTTTTTTACCAGAAATGGTCGTCGCAATATAGCACAACGCTTTGTGTATCATAAAACTACGTAGTTGGGATGGAGCATTCACATAACCAGTTTTTGTGCTGTGCAATACAAATCTCTGGAGGTGCACACTTTATTTCGCAGAGCCCGGCTGTTTTGCACAGAAGGTTTACAGGATGAAGAAAATTGGATTCACAGAAGTGCATTACAGCCGACTGATTTTTCAAATGATATTGCCGAGTGCCACTCGGGAGCATGTGATATGTAAACCATACAAGTAATCGCCCGGAAATGACCAGTTTTCCTTGAACTTTTATAAAGAGATGGTGGTGCATCACTTCGATTTAACAAGACTTTGGATTAACCCTGAGACCAACATTTTAGGCCAGGCAGATCATGTTGAAACCATCCACAAATGTAACCACAGTATCTTGATCAGGAATCCAGGGTAAGCCATATCTACCAGTCCTCATATGTGCCAAATGTGACAGAGGTTTTACCGCTCAAAGTGACCGAGAGCTGTACCAAATAATGTCTGTTCAGACAAACTTGTGCAACTTTTGTGATATGGAAATTAACACGATTTTAAATTTCTCCTGAAGCCATACAGCTACATGAGATAGAACACTCTAATATCTAGACACCTACCGTAGATAATATAGCCAAAATATTCAGAACGATTCCATGCATACAGATAAACTGTCACCGCTACTGACGGCATACTCGCCCCCCTACTTTTATTGCGAATCTTAAAGTGACCAATGGATCTATGTGTTCTTCTGGCGCAACCCCTCCATTTGCCTCTGCTGTATGAATTCCCAGCTACTTATGTGACCACACAGAATCTAAACGAATCTAGTTAGAAATATCAACCAATTGCTCAGTTCCCCGTAGTTCTGACGTGTTATTTTAAATGAACCAATTTGACGGGGCTGCTATGGCTTCTGTTGTCCGGCTACTGCTACTAAGTGTTTTGATTTGCAAACTTGGAACAAACCCCATTGAATGTTCCGTGTTTTCAACCTGCTACTGTCTTTGATATGTTGACAGTCGGAACGAAATCACTCTAACATAGCTTATTGATTCACAAAGCCCGCTATAGGAGAGTTGAAATAGTCAAATATATTGAGGGGTTTTCGATGTGTTAAATTTATAGAAATTCAACTTCGTCAGGACAGCACATCAATCTCAGCAGTCTTGTTCCAGTTGAACAGCAGAAGATATTTGTCAAAACTCCATCCAAGACGTGCTATATGAGCCTGAAAACCACAGAATATTTTTTAAATGCGATTTCGTCTCAAAAATGAAATACTGTTTCATCCTTTTTGGGAGCCATCGGCAGTACACACCTTTCGAAACCATGGGAGTTTCGGGACATTCGACCTCCCGACTGATATTCTGATCACAACCGTTCGGCCAGAAGCGGCTGATAAGTTGAGAGATTAGCTTGCATTCAGAAAGGACATTGCGGTATTCATCCAGAATGTTTTGGAGGAAAATGTCTTCTCAGTGGATTTTGTCCCAAACAATCGACGCATTTTTGTTGCCCAAGCCTCATGTTGCTACGGTAGTGCAGTGACTCATTAAAATTTAAGTACTTTTCAGGGGCGATTTGCAGACAAACTAGTCTGATGGTTGACTACCAAAAACAGAACTTTCCTTACAGTCAAGCTTCATAGTAGCGCCACTGCTTGATCATTGTTATGCCTTAACGTGAAAGACCGGGTTCTTGTCCATGCGCAAAAACCCTGGTATATTTTTTATCACGTAGCTGTGCCACAGAGTGGTTTGGACGAACAAGAACTCAGTCGAAGGATTGAGAAACAAACACCATCCAATCTTGATCGATGGGTAAATCCTTGCCTTCTAAACCTAGCTGCGGGTTTTAACTGAGGAATGGCTTACTTAACTGCTTGCAGCCTACCACAGTACTTATGGTTCGCCAGGATTAAAAGAGACCGCGACCGATTAGGAACCGAAAGTCTTAGCAATCGATTACTGCAATGAGTTCAGCAAATCTTTACAGCATCCGTGGTTTCACCACGATTCTAGTGACCGGAACACTTTCTACTAAGGCTACTTAAGCACAGCGCTTTTGGTGCAATGTTCTGTGGTGAATGAGAATTAATCTATTCCTTTTCGTTTTTGTTGTACTATTGTGTACACTTATTCACAGTTCTGTGTACACTGATATCCCCTGAATATTTGTCAGATCCAGCATAATGAACAAAAGTATTTCAGTTGAGGTTGGTGGGTGCAGTATGGCAGGATCGGTTGAAGGGAATTTTGGTGAGGTCCAACATTGTTGAATAAACGCTGTGTTCGTTGCACGTGAGAGGTCGCGCTCTCATGCAGCCTCTTCCAATTTAGACGAAGCGTTGGAAAGTGTTACAATGTTGTGGACAACGGAAGCAAAAGAACCCTTCAAACTATAAACGCATTTCGAGTAAAGTGTTGATCTTACGCCCATGCGATCTCTGAGAAAAAAACATGTGTTTGAAGCAACCCACGAAACTCTATTGTGTTTATTCCATGCCACTGTCCGAATATTGTACATTTCGTTGAATTTCACCTTGTATTTCTCCAGTCGATGATTGTTCACCAGCCGCGATCTCCCTGTGATACGCTGTGACAACATGTACTGGCGTTCCTGAAAGCTGCCGCTCCAGATTTTTATAGTTGGGAATATTTTCGTTCGGTACCACGCTGCAGAAAGTAATAGCAGCAAATGGCGGAACATTCACGTGCCAAACATATACCGCACGCCCTTCAAGAATGTAAAAGTTACGACAAGCCGCCCGTTTATGTCAGGTTGCGTTTAATGCAACATGCATGGGGCATGTTATGTTAACGCTCGGACTGATGGGTAAACAATAGCTGATGACGGTTTTCAGCCTTCGCGAATACGGTATCCTCAGCTGTTGTCCTGAGAAACTCGTTTTCTCACGCGTGACTTATGCCACGCATTCGTACACTTCAATCATGAACTTGGCCCATTAACAGTGATGTTACGCCAAGAGCAATTGATCTAAGCCGCACCACCTGAACTTATGGATGCCCTCGCAAGCTATTTCGGAGAATTCAGGTAACAAATGTGAAGTTCCGTCAAAAAGTCGTATTAAGTCATGAATTATGTAGTGCTTTAAATTTATCTGTTCAGACTTTTTAACTTTCATCATCAAATATCACGTCTTCGTGTCATCAAATGAAAGTGCACCTACACTACGCGAGTTGAGCTGAAATCGATATCCGGTCGTGCATTTCGTTGAATGAACAGTCTTTGAAGCAGGCCAGTCAGCCCGCATCCATCAGGCTACTCAAGAAATGCTAAGGTGAGTTCATCGGGTGTTTCATCTTAGACCATCAACTCGAGTCACTCTAAGCTTTTTTTAATTCAACACTTGTAAACCCAAATCGAAAACTGGCACCACCAAACAAATGTGATCGGCGGTTATTGCCGCGGAATGAATGGTAACTTTTGGTTCACTTGCATTCAGCATCAGCTTCCTCATCCCGTACCACGAGGTTTCGTTTGACATTGGGGCCTACCAGCACTGTTTAACCTCAATCTCCTCTGACAGATACATCAAATATTCCTGGAGAATCAACTTGCTTCCAACGAAATTTTGATTTGCCATACTAATTAACTGTGCCAGCCGGTTTGTACAGTTCGTTCAAACACATGCGATGTCCGAGAGTGTGAACAAAGATTATTTATTCTAGTGCATTTCTTGATCACTTTTTATTGTTATCAGGGAGTCACTCTTCCGAAATCGCTCCCTGAATAGTCCGTCCCATATGAAGGAAGAATGCGAGCCTAAGTTGTAGGATTCAGAACTTCCTTCTTGTACAGTCATGCTTAAGTGCCTGTTCAGAAAAATATCCAAACCCCTCAGGACTGAAACGGATGGAAAACCTATCAGGGGTCTTTTTTCAGGTACCTGTGGTGCTATCCTAAGGATTGCCGCCGGATCATTCACTTATTGGATACATTTGGCCTTCATGAATTTAAGATACCGTTTTACGTCTATGGCGAAACTTACAAGGTTTACGTCTTGAACCACCTAGCTTTCGCATTTCAGAAGTTTATTCTGTTAACTTTTAACTCACCGTGTTGATAAAATTTGACCTGTAGTCCTCAGGTTTTCGAAAGTATTCCTCCCTGACGAAAGGTTTCCCATCCTTGTGTTCCATATAGTGTGATGGGTTTACTTTGCACAGGTAAATGACGTTCGTTTCTGAGAAATTTAGTTGGTGGGAAGGAATAGCGTGTTGGTATACTTTAAAAAAATCGTAAAACAGTTTTACTAAACGTTTCGTGTGGGTCCCTGTGTTCGTCCGCTTTTACGAGAGTATTTGACCTCAGCAGGTATCCCTAAAGAGAGTAACTGAAAGTTATGCTGAGTTTTAGACCGATATCGTGCTTCTGTGGTAAATGAGCACCGCGTGAAGCAAATCAAGTACATTTGAGTAATAGATCTTTTCAAAAAGTAAGAAGCTACACGCACGAACAGAACACATGAGTTTTGGATGCATCAGAAAACCGAGAATAGGCTTTGGAAAAGTGTGTAGGGTTATTCTTTTCTGGGTGGAAATAAACAGTAGAGATTAACCTAGGATTGGCTCACTTTGTGTTGGTCCCTTGTCTCTATACCTGGAAGACAGGTGCGCGGATGCTGCTTTGAACAGGTGGAACAAGTCTATAAATGTATTATGAGTTGCGACCAAATGAGTCTTTCTAATTATCTTTTATAAATCTGATTTCCGTCACTATCACACTGCATTGTTCAAAATGTAGTAATGAACCATGCATAAGGTTTTGTGCACATAAGCATACGTTACTATGAGTGCCTTAACGGCGTTCTGAAAGCTTTCTTGTCGATAGGTTTCCAGGTTTCTACATTCTGTAGGTGTAAAATTTTGGCATTCTCCTTAGTAACTTTTCATGGTCTTTTCAATTAATTACCTAAATCAACAAAAGCCATCAACAGGCATCTAATCAACAACCAATCACCTCAATCACATTTTGTCGCTAACCTGGAATGATGCGTTTGATTGTCCGCTCACGAGCACAGGTGAGTATAATCAGCAAGTTCTGTTTCAACGAACCCGATTTCAGTCAGAATCAGTCACTGGAGACTAACCTGGCCGCACAGTTTTGAGAAATCGATATATTGCAATAAGAGGCGTTCGACATGGGTATCTGCGAGCACCTGCACACTTCTGTTCTTGGTAGCTTAAGTAGATTACAAGAACAGGGTCAACATGATCACCTGCAACTTTTAGCTGACTTTAGAAACATTAAGTAAGCAATCAGTGGACTTAGCCCTGACAATGTCTCGCTTACGGCACTTTCCAAGTGCTAGTCGATTTTTCTAATTTTGAGTTATCCCCCTGTAAATTCACCACTATGATCTAATAGTTGAGAGAGCAGCAGAGCACAAACGTTTCAGAGAAGTTTGCACCATAATTGCTTATGAAAGTCTAAATTTTCTCCATGAATTTTCGTCAGGTTCATTGTACCGACTGGACAGCTCCACCTGGCCAAAGAGGATTACACCTAGCACGATTTTAGCTGAGGTTAGCCAGCATTTCTCCGTTGTCTGACACAACTCTGACACAACTACTCTTCTGGAATTTAAGAGCCGAAATTCCGCCAGCTGACCTCAACTTGTTCACGAACATCACTGCCAATGACCTATAGAACCTTCTTCCCACGTTTCCACACCGACTAAAGCTGTTCGAGCATGTATACGGAGAATTAAATAGCACCTTGGAGTTAATTGAAAAACTGATAAGCTAGTTGTCATGACGACTAGTTGGGCTGATTGAAGTTCCATCCAGCTAAAAACTAGTCTACTGTTGACCGGATTTTGGGCAGCCGTTATTAGACGTGCACATATTTAACCGCTTTCGTGAGCAAAGCGGCAAAAGTGTGACCTTCCAGATGTGCATCAATACCATGTGAGCTACGGTCAGAAGGCAATTAGAGTTCACTCTGAGAAAACAGCATTGGCTGGTTGGATACCTGGGTGCAATATTTGTTGACGAGAGGGCCTGTGAACAGAAAACAAGTTTTGTGACCATCTCATGTACGATAGGAATGTGATACTTGACGAGACTAGAAAACCATTCCGCTATAATATTGAATACCCAGAGAAAGACGGACAGATTGAAAGGGTGCAAATAGTTGCCTTTTTCTAGCTCATATCAGTTAGCTAAAAAGGAAAAAAAAGCAGTCGATTATCTCTAACATTCGCCGTAAACAAAGGAACATTGTTTAAGCCCTCACAAAACAATTTTTATGTCCAATATATTAGTCATATTTAGGGTGGCATGGGGCCTAACTATAAGCTTAATTGCATGTACAGGTGATTGTGGTGTACAAAACAAACGGACGTTTTGAAACAAATGGGTTTATTTCATCAAGTCTCTGAACTGTCCATAAGATGCAATCCACAAAAATTCAACCTCACACCAGCAAGTAGCGCGCGTCTGACCAAGAAGCGTCAACGTCAGGTAAATTAAAATGGGGTTTACGTCAACACGCAGTCGCGGCAGTTGTATCGTAGTTAACTGTGGATAGCATTACGTGTATATTTTGATAAATTGTAAGAATGCACGGCAAGATTAGGTGTTCGACAGAATATCTGAATAGTAGTCCGGGAATTGCCACCAGTCTAGTCAGCTGCGCCGGTTCGGTGGAATCCCCTGTTGAACTGCATTTCGAATAAAACATAACGGGCAGTCCCCAGGGAAAGGCACAATGTCGCGCGTCTCATAGATCTTGCCAGACATTAGCAAAGGAAAGAGTAACTACCACAGAGAGGAACTTTGTGCTTCATTTTGGTTTTGGATATTCGACTGCAGCTAAAATATGGTTGTAAGTAAGTTTTACACTAAGATTACTGGTCAACCGACATATAAGCGTTCCATAAGCCCCGTCGCTTAACAAAGGATTCAGCCATATATATATATTTATATATATATATATATACATATATATATAAATATTTGTATATGTTTGCATAACGCGNACATATATATATAAATATTTATATATATATATAGTAAACTGGTCAAATTAATTGATTCCAATACTATACTTCTGAGCAATAGAGGATACCTATCAGGGGGAGGAGTTTAACTGGCTGCCTCTTGCTAATGAAAGCGCTGAATTGAAACCTCTTTTACCTAGTTCAGTATTGGAATATAGGGTGTACATAATACGATAGACACTGTAAGTTTTTTTAATTCAGCATGTTTTTTCCTCACAAAAATGTATTTCCGTAGTTTTCTCCTTCATTTTACCCCTCGTGGGCATGTTTTTTCGTTTCAGCCACACTTACTGCAAATTTGCCTTCCTAAATGTTCCGTTTTCTCGCGGGAATCCTCAAACTTTCGCCCTGGGCAAAAAGTTCGTATCTGTTAACGAAGGCAACCTGTGTGCTTTTCTTTCACCATAAGGCGGGAATTACAAAAGAAGCCCTGCTTCTTCTATGTGTGGAAAATCAAACCCATGCTTTGTTCCACACCAAGCGTTTAGATTAATTAAACTTTAAAATGTCTTATCGACTTTCAGCTTTCGACAAAGTGAAGAAATTTAGTTGTGTAACGTACAGAGAGAACATATGAGTGTTTCAAGATCCCGACCGCGTAAAACTTTTGTCCAACTTGTGCCAAAATACGATAGAAGTTGGTCTCATTGCGTTATATTATTGAATTCATGCTCCAAAGAACGGAACAAACTTTCCACTTTCTCTTTGACACAACAGCCGTTAGGGGTCCGTTTCTTCTGTAGGCCTGTGGCCCCGTCATTCTTGTTTCATAGCCCCTTATTGATAGAGCTGATTTATTATCGTTTTGTACTTTTGCCATTTCAGGGCAGGCACCTAAAATGGGTGTATCGAATGCACCTACCGGTGAAAAACTGCATGAATCCTGCATAACGAGTTTAGACTGTTAGACCAACCTTGAAAGATCTTTTGTTCGGGTTTCCAAAATCACCAGAAAATGATCTATTTATACATAACAGTTATTTAGGTTGGCTTTTACACTTTCCACCTTCAGTGACGCGCTACCTAGTTGTTGTTCTATTCCCTGGCTTTTGTATTGGGGACTGAAACACTGTGCTTGAAAAATGACTTCGACGTGGCATCTGACTGTATGAGATTAAACTGAAATTTGTACTGCTTGTAATAATTTCGGTGGGAACTTTAAAAAAAGGCATTAAAAATGATTTTAGTAGGCCATTTACTCAGCTTTCCTCGACTTAAGAACGCCAACACCAGTGTAATACTAAGTGATTTTACCTTTGCAGTTCAATCAGATCATAAAACACGACCGCCTGTTGAAATGCATCAGCATCTGTTTTAGACAACAATTTTATTGGAGAAATCAAAAAACCAACGCCATACGCTACGTGTAGATCTAAATTCCGCTTGAGTAACGAGGAAAGCTGAGCAAAATTTGCATCAGATGAGTAACTATGTAAGGCGCAAGACAACCTACCTCCGTGATTCGCCACGTGCTGCAGCTGTCGTGGGCTTATGGATTTTGCTGGGAGATTGCTCAGAATTTTCTCGGCACCCTGAGCGACGTTTCCATCTCCATTGATAACAAAAATCAACGGGCCGATAGAGGCAGGCAGTCGACCAAGTGCGAGTTCATAACCAACCAGTCGAATTGCCTGTTGTGCCTCATTCAAATTGTGATAATTGTGTGCAATACTAACGTGCTGCAGGAAAAGGAATGCTTAGGTTAGCTTATTCAGACCAGCAACGAAGCATACAAATCAAAAGACGTTTTTAGGGCACAAAAATATGAATAGGAACATGTGCTATTAAGAACAGCACGTTCCATTAGCACTTTTTACTTCACAACTCGCAATATCTAACGGGAGACCGAAACGAAAAAGATCCCGAACAGTGCTTCCATAGATTGTGTACACAAAAGTGTTGTCTTGCTGACCGAGGCACCGAAGTGCGCTATGTTTACACATGTTCCGGGATCCGATTCGAAAGTTGGTTGTGAATTTAGTGACTGGTACTTGTGTATGCATAGATCCATCAACAACACGTTCCACACACATTGTTTTTACTAGAAGTTGTCTCGATCACATGGATTAAACATCGAAGGGGGCGTCTTCAAATCAGTCACTAAACGCTCGGTGGAATATAGTTGATTCTTCTAGTATAACTTCATCAGTCATCCACCCGTAATATATTGTCTACATGTTCCCAAGAATGTCGCTATTCCGACTTGATGTATATTAGTATCATTAGGGCAAGAAAAACCGGTTTCTGCCAAAACCAACATAGGGTAGACGCGTTTTATTGAAGACACACATTAAAACAATATGCTGATCCGGAGCACTCGGTACTTAAAATTACACGACATTTACTGGATTTTAGTAAGGTGGAATTCGTTTTAGACATAGGAATTTTGATTATTTGTCAAACACCAGGAGATATTAGTGTAACAGTGATACTACTGATGGGGAGGCATGCGGGTAGTATGTCTTCTTGTTAATTCGCCTTGCGCCTCTTGAAAAGTGAGATCAAATACGGAATTTGTGGAGTCTATTTGTAGCATTTACTTGGATTTGAGCAACAGTCACTGAATATCCAGGAAAGTTCAGGAGGACGCGTTTAATAGAAGATCGACGTTCGGTCTTTGTAAACAAGATGCTTATGAGAGTTTTGCTTCCCTGTTCAATAGCCCATAAGTGGTCAGTTGGCATCTCCTAATAAATGACTCCACAGCGAAGGCTTTTACCTTTCAGTGGTAGTACCACAGACTGCTGTAGATCGAATGAGCACCTAACAATCCACTCCACTAGAGCAAACTCGCTATGTCAAACATCCGAAATCAGGGTCCATATAACATGACAATTTGTCCTTCATGCGGCGCAATCCGGAACACACTACTCATATGGTGGCCCCTCGAGAAAACACACTAACATATGTTGAGTATCGTACCAGTGTTAACGTGGGGCAACACATTCAGTTGAAGAAGGCTATAAACGAGTACTGTTTAAATCTTCTAGAATCAGTACATAAAACGTGGACGCTCAGCCCGGTGGCTGATTGAATGAGATCAAAACCTGGCTTTTGGACAGGTTTGGTTCATTTCGGGTAAGCTTAACTAAGACGAAAACTTGCTCCTGCTCCGGAGTTATGAAAACGTTCCTCGGATATACAAATTCAGAAGTTCCTTTTTTCCAAACGACCGCAGTGCACATTTTTCGTGGGTGTTCCCGTTACAGCAATCCTTTTTACACCAAAAATTCACGAATCGCCTCACAGCTCAACTTCCCGAATTCCTGTCTTCTAGGGCAGGACTCGACTTAAATTGGAGTATGTTATGTGTTTGTATATGGTTAATACAGTTTTATATCCAATGGTATAAAATATGCCCTTTTAATAAGAGTCACCCAAATACACTCGCAACCAACTCAGGAGTCATAAATGCGAAGGGACTCGTAGCAGAGAATATGTGGTATGTGAGCTGCCCTCTCGAGTGTGGTAATTCTTTGAGGAAATTATGAATGACTCATTATTTCACATTTCACAGCTGCTTCTCGTAATAGCACTAGAGGAATATTTCGAGTTCTTGAACCGATTCATGAAATGTTTCAGCAACCATCCAATCAGTCTGTCCGATAGTCGTATGGCTATGGAAAATGAGAATAAAACTCACCATAAAAGGAGTTCTGTGCCCCAGTGCGAGTAGTCGGATTCCCAGACCATGGATAATATCGATTGTACCTGCCATCCCAGCGTGTTTTCCGAAAGCAACAACCCTTTTGTTGTGTTCATTCACCATGCACTCGTAATCAATGATGCGAATATTCTGAAATGTTCAGGGTGAATATAGTTAGCAGGTATTTTGACCGATTGAAAATAGACTCTAACAGACCGTTGCGTCAAACCAGTAGTATATGGCTCCTTATTTTGACTATAAATGTGCCTGGGGCGTCTTCCGTTTTTGACAAGCACTATCTACCAAAATTTTCCAGAACAATTAGTAAAAATTAAAGGTAACCAGTCCTTGAGGTAAGGATCGACAAGACTTTATGGCACTTGAACCTCCTACGGTAATACGACATCAATTTTTTATAAAGTAAAATTAAAGTCTTACTAACTTAAGTGCCATTTTTTTGCGCGAAACATTTCCATTGTCCAGTAGATTTCAGGCGTCCATGAAACTACCTAACTGGGAAGCCCTGATACGCTGGTCAACCGGCTTACAAAACCTGAGTCGTCGTTCCAACCCTGGAGCAAGCCAATCACTACGCCCCTATGTGAACGCTCTCGCCTGTTTGGGTGTGAAAATTCAGATGTGTCCAACGTGCGCTCGTTAAGTAGTGGTAACACGCTTGCCTGGATGCCCGGAGCTCACACTTTGGCAAGGTCATAATTTATGCGCTGCTGACCCTCTCCAATAAGAGCGAAACTTCAGTCCAGTGCTCCCCCCTTTGGTGTGAACTCATCAGAATGATTGTGCCAGGAGTGGAGGCTGGCTGTTACATCGAGAGAGGTGTGAATGCGGATTCTAAAAATCCCGTAAACATCCGGATATCTCTGTAAATATTTTTTCAGTCCTTTTCGATCTTCTAAAGCTGACCCAATTAAATTCGGAATAGAAATGAACACATCAAACCACCAACTGATAATTTATTCAACGGTGAATCGCATCCCGGCTACTTGCGTACGTGAAGTGCCGTTTGTGTAAAACAAGCCTATTTGTAACTACATCTTCTCTGTTACGGATATGTACTTATTCGTGGCAGACTCAAGAGTTAGGACAATCATCTGCCGGCATTTAAGCACAGGTGGCGGTTTTTTGTGTTTTGAAGTCACGTGTGGTAAATGGTCTAATCCTAAAAGGCAATCCTAAAAGTTGTATCTATATTGTGACAAACGTCTTAGTTTGAATTTTAAAGACGCTTTTTATTTTCAATACGTGTATAGGAAGTGTTTGTAGAGATCTCACGTTTTTCAGATAACTTTTCGACCTTAAATGATGCTTTTGTATTTTTAATCCAGTAATACTTCCAGATTCTATCGGCCGCAGCGAAATCATTGTTTCCATTCAATTGAGCAGGAACAAAAAACTATCGAAGAAAAACCTTACTAGGTCTGAAAGGGTTTTCTTGCATTCTATCATCTACAAGGTTAGTGTTTGGTTCGCTACCTACACAGGTTTCGGTATATCACAAAGTGCTATTGTCTCCACAACAGTGGCCGAATCGATGAAGGTCTAGAACCTCAAACAACCCATGCTTTGAGGGGAAAAGTTTAGACTGTTTAGATATATTCTTCATTTTTATGGCCTTCGTCAGGAACGAATCTTGACAAAAACTTTCAGCGAGTAAATTTTAGTATATTTTGATAGAGGTGTCAGCCCTGAGGTGATTCTAGTACTTCTTCAACCTACTTTCTTAGGTTTGCCACTCGAGTTTCCAAAGATATCATGTGCTGGCTAGGGTCGCTCAATCGCCATATACGGTTTGTGCTTAACGACGCCAATGCGTCATTTTGACCGACAGATGTACATTTCAGGACGAGGTTCCATTAAGGCTACTTTTAGTAGTGTTTCAATAAATCGCAACACATGTAGAAACAAGAATTTCTGTTGGGTGTGTCACGAATTAAGCCCAAACTAACCAGAATGACGCTGATACTGCTTAGATGTATCAAATGATAAAAGCATCGGTAAAAGGTTGAGGGCGGGAACCTGCTGTTTGCACGTGTCGACAAACAAATCTACACAGTGATCAATAAAGCAAAACAGAGAATGGGAGAGTCTAATCCTGCTTGTGCCATTATGAGAATAGGTTTTTCAGCCGGAGAGCTGATTGTCTGGTATCGGTCATAAAAAGGCGATGAACGGGCAGTAGTTATATCGTACCCACGTACTGGCTGAGTAATACATATTTGGCCCTCAGATATGCAATCAGTGAAACCCTGGAACCAAAATACCAGGATCTGAGACAAGATAACAGAAATCCCTCTGTGAAGACTATTGCGGAGCCAGTGAATTTATTGCCCCTCCTGGAAATTGAATATCATTCATTCATATACAGTTCCCCGACATCTTTCGTAATTACCAAAATTTAACCATCTCATAGTTACTCCTGAGCGGTTCATTTTTTGTTACATGATAAATTATGTTCATTCGCGCACTGGAAGTATTTTGCGCTGAGATCTGCGCTCACTCCTGCAAGAATCGTATACTTAATGATCCTGTGAAGATACACAATAATACGCCAAAAGTCTGTCCTTATGGTGTTTTTACCCCCGAAGATTTCGACTGCCGTTGCTTTTGTAGCATAACAGGGAGTGATTGACAAACATTTTACAATGGGCGGCTGGCAGACAGGGTTTATTATCAACCCAAAGATACCTTGATCAGAAGACAAGTCTTCTCGGGTCAGGAGACAAAGATGTATACAACCCACCCCACCAAAATGACTGCTAGAAAAAGCATCGTTTTTTATTTGAAGCCCTAGATGGAGAACTTTTCTCGATGGAGAAGGCATGATTTAGTGGCATAAAATGAAAGCGACCGAAGTCGCACAATGCCTCGCAATGTTAGCGCTCTCCTGACTGAGGCTCACGTGAACTTGTCTGCAGGAGTCTGCAGACTCTGCAGGTCATAACATGACAATAATCACAGCGGCGTGCGTGTTACTACTTCTTAGCCAGACTGTCGGGCTCTCTGGGTGATTGGTCTTCACTCGATAAAACCTTCCTGAGGGAAACTACTGATCAGCACGGAAGAAAACTGGCTATTTTTCTCAATTTGTTGGCTTGTATTCCAATGGCTGTTCAGCTGTGGGCCGTAAACAACCTGAAAGTACTTCGCAACGCCAAAACAAATGTACGGACATTATCTCTTCATCACTTGATACCGACAGCGTTTTTATAAGAACAACTTACTCTCTGATTCTTGGTTCACCAAACACAACAGGTACTGTTTTAAGTTCACCGAAGCAACTTAGATGCATTGTGGCATTCGTAGAGTTCCGGACAGGTAAATCTACTTCCTTTTTACTGTGGTTTTTGGACTGTATAGCCATCATCTTCCAGCCACACTGGTGCACTTTGATAAATGCGCAAACCCTGATAAAAGGTCTTTCGGCGTTGACGTCACGGTGAGAATTTCGCACTAAACTTGTGCTTTTATTTATCAACCCAATGTTCTTCTTTCGACTGCTGCCCTCCTTTGGTTACACAAACAGCTTGGCATCCGTGAGTATGTAGGGATGAACAACGGAGCCATTTTAAAACTTACGTATTCATATAAGACCGACTTCCAGGTTGAGGAAATTTAAAGTACATTCTCTCTCTGCCAAGCTTTTCAAAGACAAGCAGAATTATCAGCAATCCAACGTAGTTCGAAGTGCTGTTAATCATCTGTCGGCACCAAGATGGTGCAACTATTTGAAACAAGGTCCTTGTGTCCTTGTTCTGGGTAAGCTGTTTGAATTGGGGGTACATATTTATCAAAAAACATATATCGATCACAGAATTTAAACCGGTTATTGTTCACTATGGACGGGAATCGCACTACTAATGCATTTTGCGTTACAACTCTTCAGTTTTCCACGTCATTGCTGCTTGTGCTGTACGACGTCTAAAGCAAGTAAGTTAGTATTCCAGTTAGGCTGAATAATGCGTCGGCCTTGATCAAAGCCAATCGCGCCTGGTTCTACCTTCCTGTCCAACCTAAGTACTACCATATAAGAAGACCGTAACACTTTTAATTCGTTCTAAGTAGGAAATACAAGAGTATCGAATGTCTGTTCACAATATTGTAAATCAAGGTCATCGGTTTGTATTCCGTAATCATATGTCACAAAATGTAGTACGTATCTACTCTCCAAGGCAGCAGTGAAATTCTGATGCGCAATGCTCTAGAGAAACAGATGCATGTACTTCAACAGTGGAGCAAAAGCTTCAAACACGAGAGACAGCTGAATTCCTGGGACATCCTGAAAACGCGTAAACATTCTGACAAAAGTCTGCGGGCACATTCTCCGAATACGTTCATGAGTGCACACATTATTGAAAATGACGAGAAGAATCATCGACACAGTTAGGCGATATTTCAGGCAACCGTAAGGTCGTTACTGGGATTTCACAATTGTTGAGGCATGAGCCCTTCTGAACTAATTCACCACAGGATCGCCTGTGATCGATGGAGCCAAAGTCTGTCTGATTGAAAGGAAGCACCAAATCAATCCAGCTCAGTTGTTTGGTTCACTTGAAAGGTCATCGTCTAAACTTTTAAAGGCTATTCGCACAAGCGTACCAGAATTGGCATGGGCCAGTTCACTCGCACCGCGTCAACAGTCACTCTGTTATCATAAAATGGTACTTGCGAGCACTAATTTTAACTGGCTCAACCAATCCTTCTTCCCCAAGTTACACTGAAAGACTCAATTGAGTGTCAGTTGCTCCTGGGTTTTACCAAAAACATCTCACCAACTACCCTAGGAGAATTGTTAACTATCTGTCTCATGGCACTTTATCGAAGAAATGCTTTTTTGTGGAAAAGTTTGTGAAAGTCCTGCAAAGTTTCTGAATTGGTGCTTCCAAACATCGTATCCAAGCTGATACCACGTTATGCAGGATTAATGTGCTCCATGAAATTGGCTGATGTAATTCGCCTAAAACGGCAAAAGTCTCGCGTATCTTGACTTTTTAAAAAAATAACGATTGGTGAATCACAATATAAGCATATAACCATAATATATATAGGCATAATATTAAGTCAAACATACAACCATCATTACAAGCGAAAACGGGCTAATTCCATTGGTGTGAAGAAATCAGAATTCTTGG